AAAGGCAAGATTTTAAATGATGGTAATGTTACAATAGTGAATTCAGATAGTGATTCAATTATTTTAATTTATACACATGATTATTGTAATCATGTTAGTGATCTTGGCATTGAGTGAATAGTTGACACAAGAGCGGTATATCATTATGTTTCTAAGAGAGAGTTATTTACAACTTACAAAGTAGAAGACTTTGGTTGCATCAAGATGAAAAATAAGAGTGTGTCATAGATTGTTGAGATTGATGATATTGTTGTACAAACTAATACGGGCTGTATGTTGACTTTAAGGGATGTTAGCCACATTTTAGATATGAGAATGAACTTACTTGCTATTAATATCTTTGATAAGAAAAGATATGAGAGTCAACAAAAGAATGAACAGTGAAAGCTTCTCAAAGGATCTATGGTAGCTACAAGAAAAAAAATTATGTTACATAATGTACAAGACACTGATGCAATTAAACTATAATCAAATAAATATCATTGAGGATGATGCTTCAACAAATTTATGGCATAAAAGATTGGCACACATGAGTGAGAAACGGTTATAGGTTTTGGTAAGGCAATCTTTCATTCTATTAACCAAATGTATATATCTCTTGATTTATATGATCATTATTTATTTGGTAAATATCGTGGAATTTTTTTTCGTAAGAGTTTTCAGAGAAAAAAATAAATTAGAATTAATTTATTTTGATGTATATGGTCATATTGAGGTTGAGTCATTGGTGGTAGCAGATATTTTATTACTTTTATTGATAATGTTTCACGTAAGACTTGGGTGTATATATTGAAAAACAAAAGCATAATATTATAGTATTTTTTAAAATTTTATGTCATGGTAGAAAGGATGATAGGATTATCCTTAAAGTATATTCAGACGAATAATGATGGAGAATACACATTTAAAGATTTTGAAGAGTACTGTTCAAAGTATAGGATCGGGCATAAGATGACAGAACTTGGAATACCGTGGCATAATGGTGTAGTTGAAATAATGAACCGTATCATTATGAAAAAGGTCAGATGCATGTTAAGGATGATAAAATTACCAAAGCCATTTTGGGTTGAAGTAGTTAACACAACTTGTTTTTTACTTAACAAATCATCATCAATTTCTTTAGGCTTTGACATTTCAGAAAGAGTGTGGATAGAAAAAGATGCTTCATACTCTCACTTGAAAGTTTTCGAGTATAAAGCATTCATGTGTGTACAGAAAATCTTGAGGTCAAAGCTTGACAGTAAAGCCATACAGTGTGTGTTTATAAGATATGATGATGAAAATTTGATTATAGGATATAGGATCCATAAAAAAAAAATAGTCAAAAGTAAAGATGTGGTTTTCTATGAAAAAAATTATAGCAGACCTAAAAAAAAATGAGAATACTACATGGATTACTATTGAGTGTGGTGTTTCAACACCAACAAAGGTTTCATAAGAAAAAGTCACATGAAAAAAAGTAAAAAATAAAACTTAAAGATATGAATGAGCCAGCCATAGTTAGTGACAAGTCAGATGCAATTAGTTTTGAGCAAAGGGAGCAATCTACTCCACCAAAAAATGTTGAGCAGGGAGAGCTACCTTTGGCATAAGGTGATATAGAGTTTCAGCTTAAGAGATCTACTAGAAAGCATAGGCCATCTATCAGGTATCCAAGTTCAAATTTTATTTCAGTTATCAGTGAAAGAAAACCAAAGAGTTTTCAAGATATGTAGACTACTCCGAATAGAGTGCACTGATTAAAAATAATGAAAAAAGAGATGGAGTTATTGTGTACATATGATCTTGTTAAATTTTTAAAAAGAAAAAGGCTGCTGAAAAATAAATGGATGTTCAAATTGAAAAAAGATGGTGACAAGCTAGTGAGGTACAAAGCTTGATTGGTAGTGAAAGGTTTTTCTTAGAAATCAAGCATCGATTTTGATGAGATCTTCACTCTAATTGTGAAGATAAGTTCTATTCAAGTGGTACTATGATTAGCAGCTAGTTTAAATTTTGAGCTTGGGTAACTTGATGTGAAGACTGCATTCTTACATGGTAACTTGTAGAAGGATATTTATATGAATCAGCTTAAAAGTTTTAAAGTAAAAGAGAAAGAGCACTTAGTTTGTAAATTGAAAAAAAGCTTGTATGACTTAAAACAAGCTCTGCGATAGTGTATAAAACGTTTGATTCTTTTATGGTGAACCACGATTATAAAAAAATGACAGCAGATTCTTATATGTATAAAAAAAATTCCTTGATGGTAACTTCACTATTCCCTTATTATATGTTGATGATATGTTAATTGTGGAACAAGATGATGGTATTATTTGTAGGTTAAAAGAATAATTGTCTAAGTCTTTTGATATAAAAGATTTAGGTCTAGCAAAACAGATTCTCGGTATGAATATTATTCGAGATAAAAAGTTAAAAAACTATAGTTATCACAAAAAAAGTATGTTGAAAGGGTGCTTAGTAGATTCAATATACATGCTAAATCAATTAATAATCTACTTGCCAATCATTTTCATCTGAGTAAGAAATCTTGTTCGGTGTTTAAGAAAGAGTAACTAGTTATGTCTAGTATTTCTTATTTTTCTACAGTCGGTTATTTAATATATCTTATGGTTTGTACATAGCCTGACATCGCTCATGCAGTTAGTACAATATGTAAATTTCTTTCTAATCCAAAAAGGTTCACTGAGAAGTAGTAAAATAAATTTTTAGATATTTGAAGGGCACCTAAAAAATGTGCTTAAGTTATGGAGTTTCACAACCAGTTCTAGAAGGGTTTATTGATACTAACATGACAGGTGATCATGATGGTATGAAATCTATTTCGGGGTATTTGTTTACTTTTACAGAAAGTGTTGTATCTTGACAGTTTAAGTTACAGAAATATGTTACTTTATCAACTACAGAGGTTGAATATATTGTAGTAACCAAAGCAAGTAAAAAAATGCTTTTGATGAAACATTTTCTTCTTGAATTAGAGTTGAATCAGAGAGAGTAGTGATGTTTTGTGATAGCCAGAGTGCTTTAAATTTGAGTAAAAATATCATGTATCATGCTAGAACAAAGCACATTGATGTTAGATTTGAGTAAGAATGTCATATACCATGCTAGAACAAAATACATTGATGTTAGATATAACTGATTACATTCAATAATTGAGGACAGCAGATGTTGTTGAAGAAAGTCTATACTGATAAGAATATAATAGATATGTTAACTAAGATATTTTTCATGAAGAAGCTTAAGCTCTACAGTAACTTGACCAAAGTGAGTTTATTAGTCAAGGTAAATTCTAAATGAAACTGCTATGGTGATGAATTTTTCTTCTAATGGGGATAGAGGGAGAGATTGTTAAAAAAGTAGGGTTCAGCCCTATATAATTGGTTTTGGACCAATCAAAGACTATGGGCCTTAGTCTTCTTTTTTACATGGAGCCCTAGTTACTTAATAAAAAGAGGTGTAGCTATTTTAAGGTGAAAAAAAAAGAAGGTGGCATGGCAAACCAAGAAAAGAAAAAAAAAGCCAAAAAAAATAGAAAAAAAAAAAGGATGGAGAGTTGGTTGAACGAAAGTCGATCCATAGTCCGATTAAGCTGAAATTTTGTCAATAGATTTATGATTCAAAGTTTTACATTTTGAACAGTAAAGATCGGGTTTGAAGCTCTCTATGAACAAATGGTATATTTGTTGAGTCACCTATTTGATTAGATTTTTTCAATTATCTTTCTAGTTGTTGATTAGTTATAGTTTTAGCTAAAGAAAAATTTTTGTATATCTATTATTTGATAGTAGAGTTTTTTTCTAGTGGTATGTAATTTTTTTTCTCTACACTGAATGATTTTTTACATAAATCTTGATGTATTTTATTTTTTTTTGTATTGTTGATTATTGATTGTTATCTATTACTATAAATTTATTATAATATATTACTTTTGTATTGTTGTATTTATTACTTTAAACTCAACACATTTGATTCGTTTAATTGAGAAAAACACCCAACATTCTCTTGTTTATCTTCTAGGAGTCTCTCATTATTTTCCTTTCTTGCTTTTTGTAACATTTTTTTTGTCAAATCTTCCATGCAGATGCAAAATATCTTTTTGCTAGCCTATCTCTTAAACTAATATTTCCTTATTGTTTCCTTCAAGAGTTGGCAAAAGCGTTAGTAAAGGTCCGTCAAATTAATAATTCCAAAAAGCCAGCCCCGAGAAGTGCTTAATCAAATGAACTCATTTGTACGAGTTGATCACTCGGATTTTGCAGTTGTAGTTTGTTAGTACACGATAAAGTTGTTTGCTTGCTGTACTTGAAAACTATAGATAGATATATGATACAATAGTTCTTTCTGGAGCGTGTGTTGTGCTGCTATATTCAGCCTTTGGATGGCCTGTTTCTGTTTATCGAGGAGAAACCATCGTATTTAATTTTCAACAATTAGTAGTCAACTTCGTGAAGCTGATTGAGTATCAAACTTGAAAAGAAAATTATTGCGGCATGAATCATATCTTATATAAATATAGAAAACTAAAGGTTTAGGCAAATCTTTATATTAACATGCTTGATGATTTATATGCATCTCATGGTTTTGCTGCCATATTGCTCAATTTTATGATTATTATTTTCATATTTGACATATATGAATGTGACCATACTATTTTAATAGTTATACCAAGAATAATAAAGAATACTATGTTGACCGCAATTTGCAAATTTTTCATCAGAAAATATTTTACTCGGAATCATATAAACAACAAAAAATGCAATGGTATAACTTGTAGGAAACGCCGTCGTCTTTACAAATCACACCTGATCTGTGAAGGACTTGTGGTGGGCCACTGGCCTCCATCCCTTGCACAGTTGAGCTGACCAACTTAATTTTCGTCTAATTAATTATCAGATTTACATTAAAGCCCTCAGAACACCGTTCATATTACTGCATTGCCACCCAACGGGTACTAGCGTTTGTCATCGGCCATTGATTTTCATTGTAATTATCAGGGAAACAAGACCCATTTTTGAACACTCATCAAATCCACCAAGGGGGAAACACAGGTCCTACAAATTGAATAACCGTCCACACTCTCTTCGTTGGAATCGCCCACTCTCAACAGTCTCCGGACTTCCCAAAGCAGGACAAAACCACACGCCAAAAAACAATTTTCCTCTGTTCTTTCGGCTTTGTATAAAGCATCACAATCTTCATTTCTGGCTACTCTATTCGCTTCTCGTTCTTATTCTCCTCTCGCTCTTCGCGGATTCTTCGGAGCTTTGATTCCAATGGCATCTGTTGCCGGATCCAGTGTCATTGCCTTGAAATCCCCATCGAAATTTGGAGTTTGCGGTGACCGAAGAATTGTTCAGGTTCGGCAATGCTCTCCGATTTCTGGCCGAATCGGATCGGTTCATACTCGGCCATGCATCAGTCTCCAGTGCAGATGGAGGAGATCGTTTGCTTCCTCTGGTATTTGTTTTCTTTTGCTTTTAAGCATTCATTTTCATCTTTATGGGATATTTTTCTGCTCATTTAGCAGAAAAGCTCAGCATGTTTAGGAATCAAGGATACTTAACTATAGTCAAATTTATCGTCGGAGCTTGTGGAATTTGTTACTTAGCAAACAAGCAACATTTGTTGATAATCTGAGAAATTATTGAAAATTTGGAAGACAAATTTTAGTTAACTTGGCTTTTGATTTTCTTTTTTTTGTTCTTCCTTTTCCAGGTGTAAGAGCGCAGTTCGCCACTGCTGAACAAGCTAGCACTGAAGCAGCTCAAAAAGTGGAAGCTCCCGTAGCCATAGTTACTGGAGCTTCTAGAGGAATCGGTAAAGCGGTTGCATTGGCCTTAGGAAAAGCAGGCTGCAAGGTTAGTGGGTGTTCCTTATCAGTATCTGACTATCTTTTCGAAGGAAAAGAATATCTCTCTTATGTCATTGGTCATTGCCTCAAAATATGAGGCAAAGCCATAGTAACAATGCAACTTGTGGCGGCTGAAGTCTTGACTAATAGGATAACTTTGTTACATGATGTATTAAATTTGTTGTTGACTTAATAATAATATGATTTGCAACAGGTTTGCATCGAGTTCTATCTCTTGAATATGGAACTGGTTACCATTCTCATGTTAAGAGTAAATTGTTCATGATTACTGTAATGTAGATTAAATTACCACTCAAATCTTGTTTAAACTTTAACTGTTGAGTAATGGGGTGGACTCATGGTTAATTATGCACTGCATAACGTCCTTAAGCCTTACCTTCTTCTTCACTGATAATAATTGCTTCTGAAGTGAACTTCAAAGCACTTTAAGAACAAGTCTTTTAACTGCTAAAGCAATATTTTATATTTACTACAATTTTTTGGAAAAAAGCGGTAGTTGATGCCTTTGTGCTATTGCAGGTCCTAGTAAATTATGCTAGATCATCAAAGGAGGCTGAGGATGTTTCAAAAGAGGTGACCAATATGCCCTTTGAAGCATTTTATATGAACATTTGAGTGGGATTTTCCTTCCATTTTCACTGATTTTGTTGTGTAATGCATAAGAATTCAAATCAGTAATCTGCCATGGTTTTCTAGAATGGAGTCTTCCATTTCAGTAGCAGAGGAGAGTTTGTTGGCTGCCTAAAGCTACAATCTAATTCTAGGATTTCTTATGTGCTCATTTTTGCATATGCTTGTATGCATCTAAAGGAAAAATCACAAATATGACACGTTTTTCCAGATATAATAATTGGATTTTTTATACTTGACTTTTTGTCACCTTTAGTTTCTACTTAAATCTTGCTTTAGAGTGCCTTTTTGTTTTTATTTTTTTATTTTTTTATTTTTTTTGTCTGTAATGTTCTTTAGGCAGTGGTTAAACTATACTGCATGGATGAAATGACTAATGTTAGTAGATCATGTGACTGTTTTGTAGATTGAGTCATATGGTGGTCAGGCTCTTACTTTTGGTGGAGATGTTTCAAAAGAAGCTGATGTGGAGGCAATGATAAAAACTGTGAGTGCATGTGTCCTTTAATTCATATTTTGTAATTTACTGGTCAATTCGTGTTTCATGACTTTATATCTGCAGGCTGTTGATGCATGGGGAACTGTTGATATATTGGTGAACAATGCAGGTTATTGAAAATCCTTTCTTTTCTTGTTAGTTATTCAATTCTTGATTTCAATCTAGTCCCTTAATCTGGTGACCATGATTTCAGGAATTACTCGGGATACTTTGTTGATGAGGATGAAGAAATCACACTGGCAGGAGGTTATTGATCTGAATCTTACAGGAGTGTTTCTTTGTACACAGGTTTGAATGCTGGGCATCTGACTGATTATTGTAGTGGATGCTTGTATTATTTATTGGAATTGAGTTACTTTTCTTTTTGCAGGCAGCAGCCAAAATAATGATGAAGAAGAAAAAGGTAATAGGATATTTTCAATTTTAAGGTCACTGACTCATGGGTAGAATACTTGCTTTGTCAATTTGTTTGAAATTGAACTTTGTACCTGCAAATTTACTGATTTAGTCTGTAAACCTGAGCTTTAGTATTTTAACATGTCATAGCTTCAAAGACGCATCTTTCTTGTTGATTCTTTCTCTTTTGTAGTGTCAGAAATAAAGAAAAAGATTTTTTTTGAGCATGCATCAAGATTGCTGTTTTAGAATATGAGCCATGCCTCAATATATGTTATAATTTCAGGGAAAAATAATTAATATAGCATCAGTTGTTGGTCTGGTTGGCAACATTGGGCAAGCCAACTACAGTGCTGCTAAAGCAGGAGTTATTGGATTGACAAAGACTGTCGCAAAGGAATATGCCAGTAGAAACATTAATGTAAGTTTCTAGAGTTATTAGACTTTTGTTCCAGTAATAAGAAAAATCCTGGGTTTTGCTTTTTAGAATTATGTTGATACTCCAACTCTTCTCTTGTGCAAGATTTGCCCCTTTTGCTTAAGGGGAAAAAGAATTACAATATGCAATGTTGGATAAGGTGAAGAAAGATGAAAGTTAATGTTTTGAATATTCAGTTATTGACGTATAATGAAACATGAGGAAACGAAACAATAAGAATGCTATCCTTATATGGGGCTGAGGGAGTAGGGTTTATGTTGCTAATGCTGGGTATGCTCACTTTGATAATGTTTTATAAAAAAAATTCTTCCAGGTCAATGCTGTTGCCCCAGGATTCATTGCATCTGATATGACTGCCAAGCTTGGGGAAGATATTGAAAAGAAAATCTTGGAAACAATCCCCTTAGGTGAGGGATGATTATATAAAATCAAAGTTCATAATTTCTGTCTTTGTGGATTTCTTGTTAGTGCTTCTCAAATTGTTAGCTTTCTGAACCCTAACAAAGTCACCAAATATTTGATACCTTTCTTCTGAAATGCCTGAGAGTTCTTATTTATGCTGATCTTGCAATGTACCAAATACATCGTATCTTTGTTGATTTTACTGTACTTGCACAACTATCTTCCATTGCCTTTATTACTATAAACTCGTATTGATAATCTGATATCCTAGTTTCACTGATTCAAATTGGATTTTTAGTAGTAATGCTTTGTAATATTCACAGCAGTGATAAAAATATTTGTTATTGATACAGGAAGGTATGGTCGACCAGAAGAAGTTGCCGGACTGGTGGAATTTTTGGCCCTAAACCCTGCTTCCAGTTACATCACAGGACAGGTTATAGATCTATTTTATCATTATGCCTTTTTCTATATAAAATTCATGCAGTGTAATTGACGAGCTTTTGCTATGACTCACAAGTATCCATGACTCCACTGGCTTGCTAATAAATGATGCCTAAAGATTAACTAGGCTGAATGCTATCGATGTATTGCATCTTGCCTTTGCGTGCTGCATGTGCATTTGCTTAGGCTAATATATAACCTTGGGGCTTGGCCATGCATGCTACGATATAACTTTCTTTGCTAATTGATTGCATTGCCTCAGTCAGCTTTATCGAATTTGCTGCCCTTGCTACATGTTGGCATTTATATGGTCTGGCTTTAATAATTTCCTTGTCTTACTTGTCTGTGAGCTATATGCTAGGGCAAGCTTATTGAATTCTTCTCTTGGCCTTGGCATTTAATTGCCCTGGTATTGCACTGCTTTGTTTGGCAATTCATGAGCTTTCATAAGGTGGATTGACCTTCATGGAAAAGCTTGGACAAAAACTTTGCTGAGGTGCAAGGTTACTGTCTAAATCAATCCCTAGGCTTACCATGGTCATGCCACATCAAGTCTCATGGTGATTTCTCTGACCTTCTCGTAACTGATAGCCTCGGCACTGTTGTCTTGCAGGTGCTCACCATTGATGGGGGAATGGTCATGTAAAATTGCTACCCTCTCTCCCTCATTAAGCTCTCGGCGGTTGTTTCCGCAACTACAGCTGGACTTCAATTAAGATATAGCTTGTTTAGTGGAAGCTGTTGTTCGTCAGTTATAGCTTTTGTAGTTTGAATTTTGGCAGCATTTAACTTAAAGCATGTTGTGAAACCAAACGAAGCTATGTAACAGATTACAGTTTGTAGGCTTCGTTTGGCTTTGCGGAAGAGTGGTTTTTGAGCATTTTGTCAGCCTCATACATGAAGTTTAAACATTTCAACCAAAGCTTCTTAAAATTCTGTTACGGGGAATGTTTCCGACTGGATGAGGTTGGTTCTTATGACAACAACCGACAGCATTGATTATTTATTCTGATACATGGTTCTGGATTCATGAACATGGTTCCGTTCAAGTTGGATTCGTGCTCGAATGGGCTACGTGATTCTAGCACAGTTAAACCAAAATTTCATAGCAAGTCTAAAGTAGAAGAGCATATTGAGATGCCCGGAAGCAATTATAATAAACTATAAGAGACTTGTTCAAGTTAAAAATAAAACTTGGTCGCGGGAGCTTTACTGAGCCATTTATGTATGACGGGGAAAGTGGAAAAGAGAAAGGAAAGAATTGGAATAACGAAAGAAGGAAGATGTTCTCTTTCCAGAAATATGGAAATTCCCGAAGAGGCGAATATCCGGCGGAGCATAAAGGATAACGTAAACTCGCTACTCGGGTGTACGTACTCTTTACCTGGGCAGAGTCGTCCAAGAAAAAGAACAAAGAAAACTCGCTTCTTTATTTTTTTGGATTTCTGAACGTATCACCGATCGCATAGCCCCTTTATTCACTGTTTATGTCTAAGCCCCCTTACGTCACACACATGAAGGCACCGCTCTGAATTAATCGGCAACTTACAAAAAGGTTAAAGTCCTCTCAAAATTCCAGGTTTCTCCCCTGCCTTTACTCTAAGTCCAAACCTAAAGACCGGGAGTAAAGCCCCAACTCCCAAGCTCATCCTGGTTTCCTTTTCAATTTTGCAAAAACTCTCTCTCTCTCTCTCTCTTTCGATTATCATGGAGATCATAGCCCTTTGCAGCCCAAGTTTGCTGACATTCTTCTTTTTGTTTCTTTCCATTTATCTCTTTGCTTACTTTTCAGTCATCCGTAACTTGGGTCCCAAACACCGGCCTGAAGCTTCAAGCTGCTTTATCTCCTTAGCTCATGGAACGCCTGCAGTTTTCATGGCTATTAATGCATTAATAAACACCCAATTCCCTCCTTCCTTTGCTTCTCCAAACTCTGTTTTACACAACATTGTACTCGAATACAGTATTTCTTACTTCTTGATGGGCCTTCTCCATTATTTAGTCTTTTTCCCTACTGATATTCTCTTCATTCTCCACCATTTAGCCACATTGTATGTCTTTTCCATGTGTCGTTACATGGTTCATCGTGGGGCATTTGCCCTTCTCATGCTACTTATTCTTTCTGAAGTTACAAGCCTTTGTCAGAACGTCTGGACTATTGCTGGTTTCCGAAAAGCTGATGTTCGTGCTGCTGCAAAATTGTGCAAGCTTTTGTGTCCTCCGTTTTGTGCTTTGTATTCTGTTGCTAGGGGGATTATGAGGCCGTTCCTTGTATATAAGATGGGGATCTTCTATATCAATGGATTGGCTGAGAATTTGATTCCAACATGGGCTTGGTCTTCTTGGATGGTTGTGATTATTACAGCAATCTTGGTAACTACAATTTGGGTATTTGATCACTGGATGGACTGGTATAAAGAAACTATACAGCTGTGAAGAAAGTGATCTAGAAATTGGGGGTGCCTCCAACTTTCCAAGAGTGGATAGCTCGTCGGAGGAAGATTATAGAAAGGTGATTGAAGGGGTTGCAGGCAATGTGTACAGGAGTTTTGATGTACTTCCACCATTCAGTTGAGTAAATGTAATCTATAAAATTCTGAATGCTTCCTGTGCTATTATAAGACTTCAGCTTATAATGTACCAATGCCTTTTCCTGTGTCTCACTGCATTATACATTTAAAATAAAAATCTTTATTTCTTTTTGATGCACCTTTTCTGATAAAAAGCACATTTTTTTTTCTTACTCTTTTAATTATTTTCTTCATTCTAAGCTCTAAAAACTTATTAGTCAAAATCTTTCCGTTAAAATCATTCTTTACGAAAATGTATTTTTTGAAAGTTTTAAAAAATTTTTAAAATTCCATTTATGAAAGTTTAAAGATTTTCATGAAAATTAAATTTCGAAAACTTTTTAAAATTCTTAAAGATCTAATTTTGAAAATCTTAAACATTAAATCAAATGTGACAGGAGTGTAAAATTTAAAACTCTATAAAATTCATTTTTAAGAACTTTAAAAATTCAAAAGAATTTCGAAAATAAATTTTCAAAAATCTTTTAAAGTTTTCAAAAATTCATTTTTAAGAACCTTAAACGTCAAATGAAATGTAAATTAAATATAAAGCTTTTCGTAAAAATTATGCCTTTCTGAAATATATTTATGAAAATTTTAAAAAAATTTTATAAATCTATTTTCAAAAACTTTGAAAGCTTTTTGAAAATTCATTTTTGAAAGTTTTGAAAACTTCTCAAAAATCTTTAAACATAAAATACAAGGTAGAATTATAATTTATTAAAAGATAAAATTGTTATTAGAATATCAATTAATAAAGCCACTTAAGCGCTCTAATGAAATGTAGATAATTACAATTATAGAACAAAACCAATGGGTTCTCCACCTGGTTTGAGCTAACAAAAGTACATAAGACAGTTACATCATACATGAACATACATCAAAAACGGTAGGGACAAGTCTATCATCCCATCCCACTTTTTCTGTACTTGAACTCAGATCCGTTAATCCGCGAACTTTGCCTTTTTTGCTTCCCTAGGGCAATTGATTCCCCAATATGGTGGACCAATACCATATCTATCTGCATGTTCAGGATATCTCTTGCATTGAAAGAATATCAAGACTCATATGCCAATAATTGAAGCATTCATCTTATCAGGACTCCCTTGGTATTTGAGCTCTACAAACGTGCCTCCACCCTCTCCCTTGGCCAGTCTTCCTGGGTTAATACAAACACATTTTTTCATTTGTTCTTCCCCTTCACTTGTTCCCCCAAGAGATACCACCTGCAACCAGGGAGAATATGCAGCAGGATGCACGAGGATTACAATCCTTTATAGTTTCTAGTATATTACAACATTTGTTGCAGAAAGTTAGATAGTATCCTCTAGCTAATGCTAACATCTTGGAGCCATGATTTCTTTGTTGCTGTTTGAAAATTAAGTTTGCACTGAAAAGCAGTTTGGCATTGATGCATCGTCACTAACCTTGACAAAGTATTTGATGTCTGAAGGTAAGATGAGAAGATCCGGAACTGAAGAAATATTAAGAGCTTCAGGGGCCAGGGAGAAATCCAATGGAACACCTTCTGCTGGTGGATATAGTGGATAAAAGCTGTCTCAGAAAAACATCAATTAGTAAATATGCTTTGATAGGTTAATGCATCTTATTATTTGAAGCAACTAATAAATTATCGAGTGAACGAGTCTCAACCAAAATAACTTATTAAGACATACCTACGTTGGCTAAGAATGTGACTGGCAAGTCTACTCAAGCGATCACTAGGTGTTCCATCCACTGAATGTCGTGACAACTCCTCTCCACTAAGATGTTTGAGAATATCTACAGTGCAGCAACCTATCTTGACCTGAAACCCAAAATTATTGGTATTAATAAACTGATGCATGCTCTTTCTCACTCAAGTTTAATCCTTCTTAATTCTGCAATCAGATTAAAAGTGAAAGCTTTATATATCATCTACATACTGTTGATGATTGCTTGTAAATTCATGTGGGTCACCATCAAGCACAAGTTTGACAAAAAGGTAAATATAGCAAAGAACGGATTTAAGTTGTATAAAGGTTGTCATTGCTTTACCTCATCTGCCTCAAAAATCCCTGGATTTGTGAGACTGGTTATCTAGATAAGAATGAAGAAAAAAGATCTTGTTAATTTAGGAAGCAAATTGCGAAGCGAGTAGGAAGTCAGCAGTAGTTCACCAGATGAACAGCTCCTTGACTATTAATACATATAATATACCTGATGTTTAATATCAAGTGGATCAAGATCAAAAGCAGGCTGCACAAAGTTCAAATACAAATCTCAGTATTTACCCTATTTCAAAATATCATCAAATCAAGCAAAGTACTGTTCACTTTATTTGGCAAAAAAATGAACCTGAGGGAAAACAAAATCATGATTTGCATCCCGTACAGATGGAATGATAACCACCTGTGCATTGGATCCCATGTATCCCAAATAATCTTGCACCTGAAAATATCAATGAGAAAAACAGATGATTAAAGAAGCACAAGTACTTTGTCCCGAATTGAAATAGACTTTTGCTTCATATATACCATCCTAAGAACCTCCAATCGGAATACTTCATCAAAACTCAGATCAACAGTTCCTTTCTTGATCTGTGGATGTTCAGAATCGATAAAAGGTCCTAACTGAAAATTATCAATATGCCAACAAAAAAGTTCCCTAGTTAGTCAAAACGGTAAAATCATTCAAAAGCATTGGACTAAAAGATGCAGGAGGTGCACACCAGTATAAGCAACTGTGTGCACTTTCTGGTTGCGTAGGTGAGCAGTTCTTTCAGAGGCTCAAATAATAAGTTTTCCGTAGTAGTGAATGGGCCAGCTGCAATAATCTGTCCAAACATCCATCACATACAAATAATCTGTTATAAACAAAAAAAAAAAAAAACAGAAGTCTTAAGAGAAGACGAATCAACATTAAAGAGAATTCAAAATTACCATGATTGCCTGTGTCCAAAAATTAAAACCTAAGATTCAATTGGTGGAGTTGTAACTTTATAATGAGGTGCAATTAACAGTGTATGCTAAGAAAGTTATTTGATAAAGAATATTATCTTACACACCAATGTTATCTCTGTTGGTGAGCTGGGAAATTTTGTTGCCTGAATCTCCTCATCTAAAGCTTGCTTCTTTGCAGGACGCAAATTTGTATCAGCAGCAAAGGACAAAGGAACAGAATCTACCAGCTCTGATGCAATCAAACAATGCCCACTAGGATTGTGACCTTTGATGCCTACAACCTGCATAGAAGAAATATTTCCAGGCTGATCTGGGATTTTCAACAGACCAAACAAGACTAATGATCTCTTATAATGTTTATTACCTGGCCTGGAAAAACAGAGAAATGGCTCAGTTTATTTAACTCTAGTCGAACACGTTGCCCTCCAGAATGCTCAACACTGTCAAAAGGCAGGAGACTTAATAAAATATTAAACAACAAAAAAAGAAAGCTAGAACAGCACAGGGCCAATACTACTTCCTAAATGGAGAAAGGTGTCAAGAGTAGTCAGGTTCTCCATTTACCATGTGATGCTCTTGTATACAAACTAACATATGCCAGAAAACATTGAGTACCTCATCTAGAGAAAATAATTCGAGAAAGAGAAGACCTCTCAATCCTGATTTAGGCTGAATAAAAGTATCAAGAAAACCTATTTATTTCCTCTTAGTTGATTGATGTACACGAAGTCAAGAATATAATAAATAGAAAGTCCAGGACATTTTTACCTGCTTTGTAACAATATGGACTTATCATTTAAATGACCCTCACCATCACAGCAGATCATTCCAACAGCAAATATGCTCTTCTGAAGCAATAAATTTCTTTAGATGCATGGACAATAAAAAAAAAAAACTAGCAGAGAGAAGAAAGACTGGTGAAGCAGTCAACTACCTGTGAAGCAACTGATGGATCCACTGGTTCCTCGTAGAGCCCAGATGCAACAAGTGCAGCTGCATGATTTCTAATGCGGTTTTCAAGTGCATTGAACTGCACCAGCAACAAGCCATCTTAGTAATATACATTGCAGATAAAAACAACAAAGTATTTATTCTATAATAACTTTTAGGTACCCTGTCTTCAATCCTGTCATATATGAATCTGCAACCTGGTTCTAGCCATGATCTGTGGACCACCAATGAATAGCTTTTATTCGGTTGAATCCTTTTAATAATGTCATCCTCAAGATTCTCATGATGATGCATGCCATTCATGGTCTCCGTTGTAGGAAGATTATCAATTTTTAACTTCACCACAAATTTATTACTCCGTTTACCAAACGGTGTCACTAGTTTTGATATCCTCCCAGAAGAACAAATGTTCCCATTTGTTTTTTGTGCGGAGTTATATTCATCCAAATGGAGTATCTCAGATTTGTCTGATGGAGTTCCAAGAACAACTTCATTTGAATCTTCTCCTTCATCATTTAAAATCCTAGGCAAATCACATCCCATGAATTAAAAACTACACTTACATCTGCTCTATAATGTAATCCATAATGCAGCACTTGGAGCCTGGTTATGCCCATCATAGAAAAATAATAGAGTTACGTACTTAACAAATTATCCTTGCAAATTCACTGATCTCATATAAGTGGGCAGGAAGTAGCCCTGGGTGCATTTAGAATCACCAAACCAAACAAAAAAATGTAAACATCCACGAATGCATATCAATTGTAATAGGGGATTCAACCACAGGGAGACACACAATTCTTATTCTCTCAAGTCCCATGCTTATCCACTCATTTGATCTAACAGGCAGGATACACCAGCAAATTCTTTTTTCTTTCTCTCAATAACCATGAACAATTACAAAATAAGCAAGTGAAGAGAATGTTTACATAAAAAGAAAATAAATAAAATGCTTACATGTCCACGTCTTTAAAAGAGTACATATGCAAACCCGGCTCCCTTTTAACAACCGCCTCTACTTGCTCATCCTGCAGGTGCCCTAAAAACCCGTACATGTCTGCATCCTTTACAACTGATTCATCAAGTTGTCTGCACCAAGATTAGCTTTTAACCAGATTATTACCACTTCTATAAACCTAATAAATCTTCAAAATTAAGCAAAAAGAAAAAGAAAGATATTATTCTCAAAATTTCTCCCTACTTGATAATACAAACAAAAGAATGTAATTTATAAAAGAAAAGAAAAGGTCGAAATTACCGATTGAGATAATAAACCTCCCAGCTTGAGACGAGATCTGAAGGTTCGAGACTGTAATTTAGACAGAAAGCACGGCCTAATCAAGAAATAAAAAGAGTTGAGATCTTTTTTAGCGAAAAATAAGAGTGAAACAGTGAGGGGAGAATTGAAATTAATAAAAAAAAAACTCACATTTCTTGAGTATCTCTTCTTCGTCTTCAAGAGTGAACCCGCTCTTCAAGAACTCTGCTTTGATCTTCTCTTCCATGTTCCTCTCTCTCTCTCCTTCTCTCTCCCTCTGTCAATCTAGGGTTTACTTTTCGCTGATGCAAGAAATGGCGGGAACGTATTTGCTTTTGATAAATAAATGAAAGAGCTTCTGAATGCATCACAGTTTTTTCATCGTGCATTTTTTTTTTAAATTAATTTTTAAGTTAAATTATTTAATTATTTTTTATTTTTAAAACTTTAAATATTCATAACTTTATAACTTGGATATATAATTTAACGAATATACATATGATAAGATATTTAACCTTAAAATTTCTAAAACCTAAATTTAAAAATTCAATTGAAAAAAATGTTTCGTTGATGAATTATTACATCATTATAAAGAAAAAGTATGATTTGTTTTAAATATTTTATCTGCATGAAGAAAATATCATGCTTGGAAAATTCTTAAGATTGTTCAAACCCCTACACAAATGGTACAACCTCACTTGACACCTTCTACAGTCCTAACATATCATCCTCATGTTTCATAAATCCTATCAGATCTATAAAGGTTTTGTCATTTTCGAGATACATTCAGATATCTATGTGTGTAACCCATACTTTTTGTAAAACTCAATCTTTTTATATACTCATGAGTACAAACTCCTTATGAAATGACTCTGTAAAATAAACTAGATTTAGATTCCTGTAGAACTCCTTCATTTTAAAAAAAGAACCATGATGATAGTACCTTACAGAATACATCCAAAAATTATATAGTCACTTTGACTTGTAGACTTCTGAACCACTTTTCAATAATTGGTGGAGTAATCTATCTAGAAGACTTGTAAAATTAGATCTTCTTAATCCAGCCACATTAGCTTAACTTTCTACAAATCGTTATTGGCACAAAAAGCTACTCATAGAGTTAGAAAAACCATGTTCCTATTATTCTTATTGACTTTAGTTCAAATATTTTTTCAAAGACTCTACATATCTTTATAATCACAGAAAAAAAAAGCACATTAGAAGATTTAGACCTTCTAGAAATTCCTACTTTTTCAGGCACAAAAAATTGCAAAATCTAAGCTTTACAAAAATCAGATCCAAACTAACCCTTACATCATATATGCATGATGCAACCGGCTACCTAGGATATTCTTATGATTTAGATTTCTCTCATTTTCAAGAATTTCACAAAGACTAATACAAACACATCTTAAAACTTTCAAATCCTATTCACAGAGATGAATATGAAAACCAAAAAAATGTTTCTCATGCTAAAATAGTTTTAAATTGGTAAACTAAAAATTCTCTCTAGTAGAATACATACTTGCATAGAATTGAAAACAAGTTAGACAAGTTAGTCATCATTTTAACCAGAGCCTTATTAATTTTCAAAATATTATTTTTGAAATCCAATCAAAGATAATAATTTTAGATCAAGAACTTAGATACATGGCTAAAACCAATACTGAATTCACTTACGCTTTCACAGAAAGAGAGAAAGAGACGAAAAGCTTAAAGATTCAACTTGCAGATCTGTAGAATCAACTTTGTCAAAAACAACAACAACAACAACAAACAACCTTTAGTTATAGTTTTTTTACTCCCATCAACATTGAAATGCATGACACCTCTTATCAAGCTTACAATCATCTTCCTTACTAACCATACAATCTTCCAACCTCACCCTCAAAATCTTTTTTCACATCATTTCAGTAAAAACCACCCCCCAAATCCACACTAACATCCTCACAACCAAGACAATATTTCACTCTCATATCAGACTAACTAGAATAACTTCCCTTTAGTACAATTGAAAAATGGATTCACAGATTTAGAAAAAAATAATCAGTTGATCCAAAACCAAAAAAGAGTTATAAAAAAAACCACTTATTCAACCTTTAAAACCAAACCAAGCTCAAGTTTTACACCATCAAACTCTACACCTCAACCAGATCAAAAACATGTACAACTCATCATTTCTCTTACACAAACCCATTCAAAAATGATTCATCATATGGCACAAGAAAATCCCCCTCAATTTTTCATTAAAGATATCTTTTCCTCCACTTTTGAGATAGAATCTCAGATGGAAACAATTGAGTCAGATGTTAATGGGTAAACAAATGTTTATCCATCCAGTATCTAGAAGATTTTTCAGAATGATACTATGAAGCCAGAAGAATTTCTTGTTTTAGTCTAAAAATTATGTATAATTATGTGTGATGATGTTTTTCAGCTTTCCTCCATAAGCCTACTAGCTAAGTTTATGTTGATGCCTCACCATCAAACTTTCAAGTCTACTTTATATCAGCTTTGTGTCTCTAGTTTGAGTTATGTCTACTTTTTTGAAGTACTTTATTAAAGTAACTTTAAGTAAGTCATGAGCTTTAATCATGATATGGTCCTATTAGGTTAATATATTTTTTTGTATAAATTGTAAGCTTTTCTCTCATAAGGAATAAGGTTTTAAGGTTTTAAAGTTTTTAAAAAGTTTTAAATCCTATATTCTTCAAGAAGTTCTCATTTGTAAGAAATCCTCTATTATAAAATATGTTTAGGTAAAAAATTCTTTGTTCCAGAAGAACTTGTACAATAGACAAGGACACAGCTAAACCTCAAATTTTTTTATTTTAAAACTATCAATCTTGGTGATATTTATAAGATGATGTTAAAAGCCTTTGATAAGATTTACAAAGAGTATGGATACACTATAAACTTAGTGAACAACTCTAAAAAGTTAGAAAAATCATGTTCTTATTCTTCCTCTGGACTTTGTACTAATGAATATACAAGAAGATTGATTTGTATATAGAGTATTGGTTGCACACATAGATATCTAATATGTCTTAAAAATGACAAAACCTTTATAGATCTGACAAGGTCTATGAAATATGAAGATGACATGGTAAGACTGTGAAAGGTGTCGAGTAAGGTTACACCACTTGTGCAAGGGTTTGAACAATCTTAAGAATTTTTCAAGCATGATATATTTTTCATGCAAATAATCATAATTGGATAAGGTCACAATAGTAAAAAATTAAGGTGCTAGTGATTAAGGTCCATCTAATATCTTTTTGGATTAATGGTTGACTGATAAAAAAAGTAAATGAGTCTTTTAAGCTTTGGGATTGAGTATAGCCATGTAGTAAAGGTGACAAAGACACCACATAAAATAAACTATTTTTTTTTAGAACTAAAGTAGGTCAAAAAATCTGAAGGGATGGATGAATGGGTATTCAGGATGTATTCCAAGTAATTGAATGAAGGTATCTCCAAATCTTCAAAGTATTTTGGACTAGTATTTGAACATGAGGTGTGGAGCTTTTTTGTTAAGAGATTTGATTACAATGAGTCTTGGTAATTTTGGAAGGAGGTTTTCAACTGAGATGTTAAGAAAGTCATATAGTAAGTCAAATTCATCATCAAAGTAAGGTGTTGTGGAAGAAAGAATAGAGGGATTTTTAGAGGATAAAGCTTAGGAGGAAGAGGGTGAGGAATTCATCATTGAGATTACTGGAATAATCTTTAAGGGATTTGATGGAGGTCTGGGAGAAAGTCTGGTTAACATGTATTGGAGAACATTGTCCTTACCTTTTATATACTCTATAGTAAAAGAATATTATGAGAACCACTAAAAAAGTCTGAGCAACTATGCATTTGGCATCTATTTTTTTTTAAATTAAGCATCTGGTCAAATGCTGACATATCTAGTTCTATGAGAAAATGGTATCCAATGAGGTCAATTTCAAATATTTAAATTTCATACTTTATAGCTAAAATATTTTTTAGTGTAAAGTGATAATCAAGTTTTGAATATTTTGAATCTACTGCTTTTGTAACTACATATTTGTCTGGTTTCATCTTTTTTTCTAAAATGATTAATAACCTAATAAAACCATGTCATGATTAAAGTTCATGACTAAACAAATGACTTGACTTAAAGTTACTTTAATAAAGTTACTTTAATAAAATAACTTTAGAAAAGTAGACATAAATTGACATAAAGTAGTCTTGAAAGTTTGATGGTGAGGCATCAACATCAATTTTTCTTGGAGGCTTTTGGAGAAAAGCTTAAAAACATCATCATACATAATTATACATAATTTTGAAGTAGAACAAAAAATTCTTCTGGCTTTATCAGCATCATTTTAGAAAATCTTCTAGATACTAGTGGATAAACAATTGTGTACCCATTGAAATAATTCTTTTTCAATGTTTTCAGGATCCTTGTCATAGTGTTGGAATAGTTGATTGTACATTTTGTTTTTAAATCCATCTTTTATTCTTATAACATCTTCTGAATTCTACCAATAAAGATTTATAAAAAGTTGAGCTAATATGGCTAAATTAAGAAGATCAAAGTTTACAAGTATTTTGGATAGATCACTCCATCAATTATTGAATGGTGGTTCAAGAGTCCATAAGTTAATGTGATTGTGTAATTCTTAGATGTACTCTAGAGGGTACCACCACCATGGTTATTTTTTAAAAGAAGGGAGTTTTACAGGGATCTGAATCTAGTTTATCTTATAGAGTCTTTTCATTAAAAATTTGTACTTATAAGCATACAAGAAGATTGATTTGTACATAAAGTATGGGTTACACATATAGATATATGAACGTGTTGAAAATGGCAAAACTTCATAAATCTGACAGGGTCTATGAAACATAAAGATGACATGGTAAGACTATGAAAGGTGTCAAGTAAGATTGTACCATTTGTGTAGGGGTTTGAACAATCTTAAGAATTTTCCAAGCATGATATATTTTTCATGCATATACAGGTTTATATTGCAAAACTCCCTTCTTTAAAAAAAAAAACTATGATGGTGGTACCCTCTAGTGTACATCCAAAAATTACACAGTCACCTTAATTTATGGACTCCTGAACCACCTTTCAATAATTGGTGGAGTGATCTATCCAAAAGACTTGTAAACTTTTATCTTCTTAATCCAATCACATTAGCTCAACTTCCTACAAATCTTTATTGGCAGAATTTAAAAGATGTTACAAGAATAGAAGATAAATTTAAAAATAAAATGTACAATCAATTATTCCAACATTGTGACAAGAATCCTGAAGACTTTGAAAAGGAATTATTTTAATGGCTAGACAACTGTTTATCCATCTAGTATTTAGAAGATTTCCCATAATGATTTGATAAAGCCATAAGAATTCCCTGTTGAGGAAATTCTTTTGAAATTTGAAGAGTAACAAAGTGCTCTTGAGTTCTTGTTGAAAGAATACATTGATCAAAATTTGTGGCTTAAACATATTTTTTTGGAGCTTGATATTTTGTTTCAAAAAGGTTTTTATAGATCTGGTAAGAAAAGTGGAAGAATTTGAGAAAGCTATATAGGAGTTTATAAAAGGAAAAACTATTTGTTGGGATTTTTTCTTTTTTAGGATATAATCTACTTTATAAAAAAATTTCAACTTAGAGGAAAAAGATTTTTTAAGTACAGAAGAAAAGGGAGAAGATAAACTAAAAGAATATCTAAAAGTAGAAGGTTGAGAACTACTAGTATTTAATAAATCCGTCATTGCTTTCTGGAAGAAAGAGGGAGCAACTTTTAAACCTAAAGGCATAACTATCTACTAAAATTGATGTTGAATGATGTAAAATAATGTTTTGTATCTATCATGTGGATGTATACCTAATTGCCAAAATATTACTTTCAAGTCAAATTTGGAAAAGACTTTTGCTTAAGAAAGGTTTACAAACAAAGATTTTCTGTCTGGAAAAAAAAACTTATCATTTGCAAGAAAAATGTTAAGTGGCTTGTAATTAATTAGCAATATTAATTTTTCATGTATTTGTTTTGAATGTTTGTTGACATAAAACGCTTTACATGTCCATAGAGAAGAAGTTGGTTCAATTAATCCTTGAGCCTGGGGAAGTGAACATTCTTAGGTTGTTAGCTTGAAATAAACTGGGTTTATGCCTCAATGATTTGCTTTTGTTGGGTTGGCTTTTTCATCTTTTTTAAAGGGAAGAGTAATGAAATTTTCAAGATTTTTTCAAAGAAGGTGGTTGCATTTCTGGAGGAATTCTGAATGATTTTCTGCACATAAGATTTGAATGAATTTTTTTCTAAATTCCTAGAAGAAATTTGTCTGAATGGTTATGGTGAAGAGGTTGAGAAGGTTTTTTCAACTTCTAAAATAACTTTCAAACTTTATACTTATTTTCACTGAGTCTTAAACCTAGTATGCTGGTAATAACATTAAAACCAATAACAAAGTCTTTCTGTGAGAGTGAAGATGCTAAAATCTTTTGAGTTATTTGATAACCTGAGAAAACCTGAAAGGTAACAAGGTTGTTAATAAAGTTTGTAGAGAATACGTTTTCATCAGTGGTCTTGAAAAGGTTTTTTATTTTTTTCAAGTTTTTTAAGTAATACAATGAGATTTGCTATGGTTTGCGCTACACCAATATCAAAAAATACAGTAACTATTATAAAAGGTGAGTGTTTGTGAGTGAGGATCTGAACTAGGGCTAAAGGCAATTTTGGAAGTTACAATCACAAAATAAATGTCATGGGAAAGGAGAATTTGGTGTTTCGAATTAATTTTACATTTTAATCCCTTCATTTTCCATTATTAGCAAGAATACCCCTCTTGGGCTTTTTAAGTATATACGTCGATAAACGACAGCAGGAAGCACACAATAAAATATTAGGGGAAAGGAGATTTTGGTGCTCCAATTTAATTTTATATTTCAGCCTCTTGCTTTTCCTTTATTAGCAAGAATACCCCTCTTAGATAGGCCTGTTAAGTATTTTCCCCAATAAACGACAGCTGGGCTCCTTCCACTAGCCACACATATTCTTGGCCTAACCCATTATATTTATTTATTCATTCTTAGTCAAAGCCCATTTTATTTATTTATCTATCTTTTAAATTAATAGAAAAGGATAAATTTTTTTTTAATTGATAATAATTTTACTTGAATATTTTAAATTTCATTTTAACAATGACTAAATATTTCTTAAATGGTGTAACAGTAAAAAATTAAAAAGTAATCCACAACATCAATTTTTTATGTCTGATAATTTTGTATAATTGTAATAGACTCAAATTTTTTGGATAAGTAGCACTTTTATTATCAAAAAGCAAAAACATGCTATTAGAGATGAAAAAAAAAATTGAGAAAATCGATTTAAAATTATAGTAAAAATATAATGTTTGATCTGATTTTTTTTATTTGATTCAGATTAAGTTCAAATATTAAATATATATATATTAAGTTTGAATCATATTTTGAATCAAAAAATAAAAAATTAAATTAAATCGAATTATATATTTTTATTAGTTTTTATATATATATTTAAATTTTATAAAATAAAAATAATTATTTTATATCTAAATCTATTTAAATATATTAAAAATTATATTAAAATAATATATAAAAAATAAAAAAATTTAAAAAATCATTGAACTAAACTGAATCAATAAAATTAAGTTCAGTTTAAATTATATATAAATTTAATTTAAATTCCAATTAAAATTTAAAAATTCATAATTTTATTCACTGTCCATAAAAACCAAAACAAATTGAACTTAATCTAATCTATAATCACCCCTACTTGCTACCAAGTTACTAGAAACAATACACGTGCTGTCCAATTGCAGGTCAAATATATCCCTACTTAGCTCTCATCTCTTACAAATTTTTTATTTAACAAGATAAAAACAAATACTTTTTAAGTCCAGTTAAACGTAGCCCATTTACATCTCTTATTTATCCGTACTGTTTCCTCTTACTGGTAAATTCTTCTGTTCCTTTCTGTCCATCCAATACACAACGACAGCAGACTCAAATTGTTGTTATTTATTATTATTATTTTTAATTGGACTTGCTTCACAGTCTACTCTCTTTCATTCTTTTCTTTTTTATTTCCCTTTTTTTTATTTTTTAGAATGCAATAATAATAACAAAAGTAAATTACATATATATACCTTATCATCAAATACGATTTGAGTTTATCTTTTAAATTTTAAAATATAATATTTAATTATTTATAATTTATTTTATTATATTTTTACCTAAAATCATTATTTTTTTTCCTTCATTTTCATATTCAATTCATTCTCTCTCTAAAATCAAATGAATTCAATAGTTTACAGAAACATTTTACATAAATTTACAGAAGCAGAGTCGGTACAACACAAACAAGCATTAATTGCTTGCAATTAAGGAATCAAGCATCAAACAGACAAACAGTTTACAGAAGCAAAATTTCAACAGAAGCAGAGTTGGTACCACAAGGCCATACCCAGCTGCCATACTCACAGAAGCCAAAAGCCAACAAACACAAATCACCAAATTGAGAGCTTCAACCCATTAAACCTAGAAGCAAACCTGAACCTTACACTCGACCAACCCAAAAACCCAATAATCTAGTAAATTCAAGAACAAGCATCCCCGAGATACAATTCCTAATAACAAAAATTTCATTCTTTAAAAGACACAAAACCCAAAATTTGCATACAAGCAGATAAGCAAAAAAATTCAAAATCTCAACCAAGAACAATCAATATAAGCAAAGAACACCATTAGTAGGAACATCCAATAGCAAAATCAAAATTTTGGGTCTTGGCTTGAAATTGTTTTTTTGGGTTTGTGAAGAAGAGTTTTTCAGTAGTTTTGGGTTTGGTTGCTTTCAAAGGTTTCTTTTCAGACTAAGGAAATGATGCGCTGCTGCCGAAAAAAGGTGTGGCAGCACAGTCCCTAACTTTGGTGCTTTGATTAGGGTTTCTTTTTCTGGTTTACAGTGGTGGTCACTGGTGACGAAGGAAGAAAACGGCAACTGACGATGGTAGCGCAATGGACAGTGATAGTGAGTTTCGACAGAATCTGGGATCTTATTTTCTTCAATTCTGAAATGAAGGCATAGAACTTAACCTGTAGAAAGCTATTGTAAAAAAAATTGAAGCATTAGAAAAAGGAGAATCAATAGAAATAAATTTTATTGAAAATAACTTTTATAGAGAGAGAAAATTCATCTGATTTTAGAGAGAGATAGTGAATTGAAGATGAAGAAGAAGAAAAAAATTAAAAAAAAAAAAGAAATGGAGAAAGTAATGGTTTAGAATAAGAATACAATAAAATAAATTATAAGATAATTAAATATTATATTTTAAATCTAAAAAGATAAACTCAAATCACGTTTAAGATATATTTATATAATTTATCTTAATAATAATAATAATAATAATATACAGCCAATTAGAGCCTTAATTCAAACTCAACTTAAATAATGTTATGGAATTTTTTTTATACAGTTCTTCCATAAAACTGTACTCTCCCTCTCCTTGTGCATATTATGGTTTTTGAATGTGATCTTCAGATAACAATTGCAACATTCTGAATTTCAAGTTTTTGTCATCATAAAATTTTTAACATTGTGGAGTTTCTAAATTAAAATTTGTCCATAATAACCACAATTTTAAAGAAACTATTGATTACAAATTGAATTAAAAGTAATCAATTAAATTTGACAACTATTTGGATTTTCAATAAAAATGTAAGAAAATAACAAAGCAACTTTTTTTTTTTTTTATGATACAAGGAAACAATACAACGTAGTAACAGGAACATATGAAGTGCCAAAAATTATGAAACATATGCACAGATAGACTGTCTCTTTTGGGCGCTATTTGATCATCATCAATATTTCAATGACTTTGAGATGCAGGTATATTCTATCCCTGTGGTAACTCGGGATAGAATTACGAGAAGAACTCGTAGTCCTTGGCTGAAATGATGATTTTCCTCAGCCCTCCAATGGGTGAAAGAACCATCAGCAAAACACCAAGAACAATACATATCTGAATGGCATTCATTTAAAAATTTAAAAAAAAAAAAAAAACAACTTAAGAACTGTCAACGTAGGAAGTCCAAAGTTTTAAAAAGATGGTCAGGATGTTGAATTTGACAGGTTCAATATCCAATGTCGGGGTTACTTACCCAGTTTATTATCCAACTTATGCTGAATCTTTTGGGTTTGCAGATGATAAGCCAGATGATGCAGGGGAGCTGTAAAGCAAGACATTTATACAGTTTAATATTTTACCGGAAAGGATTGTGTTTGGTTCCAAGTAAACGGTAAGAAAGAGTAAGAAATCGTTACATAGTATGATGTTGGTGCAAATGCAAATCCTCCAAAGAAGCTGAGAAGACCTCCAAAGAATGGGAAGCATATCCCAACTAACATTGTGAATGCTTGCAACATAGGAAGATTAATAATGACCATAAGATATGGTAAAACTCAGATTTTGTGTGGGAGAAATAGAATGTTGGGGCAAATTGGGACCATTTACCAACATATAGACTGCGACTAATTATGCGAAGCCTCAAACAAGGTGTGAAACGCATTTTCTTTACCAAAAAACTCTCCATCATGTCAAACACTGGCATTGCATATAGCTGCAGTTTATCATGTTAAAGGGAAATTCGGGGTCGCATAAATTGTTACTTCAATTAGAGGACAGAAAATGAAATGCGAATGTGTAGATAAAGGAAGTAGCAAATTCTACCTGATAGCTACCAATGATATGGATGATGACAAACATGTTAGCTGTAGCAATAAGCCAGATGGGCTTCTCCAATGACAAGAGGATGTTGTCATCAATGGCGTTTCCGAAAGCCCAGTAACCAACAAAAGCGACAGGTAAGTAGCAGATTGCCACAATGAGATATGCAACAACGACACCCTTCCACATTGGGCCCTTGGAAGGTTTTTCAGGAGTGGAAGCGATTGTTGCTTGGATCTCCAAAACCACATTATGACCAGCATAGGCAAAAGCTACTTCACCCAATCCGGCAAGGAAGTCAAAGACTTTTCCGGGGGTGGTTGAAGCCTTGTATGAATAGTCCACCTTTGGTTGAACACCCTTTTTAACAGATGCCGCCCAAGCAATGGTTGAGTAACTGCATAAAACAAGAAATAAAAGTATCAATTGATGAAACAATAAACAGTGAAAACACACTGGAAAATGTCACTAACAATTTTAAGTGATGTTTACCACAATGACATGACTGCCGCAGCCAGTGAGACACCAGATATAGAGTTAAAGTTGGGGAGATGGGAGAGAACAAAGTGGACAGAAGCGAAAATCATAATGAAATAAGTGAGCTTGATATCTTTGCAGTTGGGGCAAACCATATCATGAAACTTCTTCAATGATTGCCCTCCAGTGACCATGTAGACAATGTCAGTTCCAACTTCTACAGTTAATTGTTGGGGTACGATGAGCCAGAGTCCAAGCTTTTCACCAAATGCATACTGACCAAGCTCATGGTACCTGTCGAAACGCTTACCAGGGATCATCTCGTGCATTTGAACCATTTGCCAAAGGGTGTACAATGTGATGACCCATGATAAAACCATTATAGTAACCCCAGGACCCCTGCAATCCATCCAAGTCAAAAGCATATGCAAAATCTTTGTCCCATATCGAGCAATTGCATTTCACGTGACATTGGCTATTTTATTTTCTGCTTAAATTTAATGCAGAAGTTTCGGGAGGATCTGAATGCTTTCAAAACTCCTTAATATGTATATTGTTCATCAAAAACCCTGAAAAACAACAAAAGAATAGAAAGAAAACATACCATCCAAGCTCTGCCATGGCATACGGAAGGCTGAGAACACCAGCGCCGACCATAGCAGTGACATTGTGGAAAGCTGAGTACCACCACTTTGCATTCCTGGAGGAAGTAATGGGAAGCCAATCATTGATGGCCTTATCATTGTCTCTTGCTTGGCTTTCTGACTTATTGTACACCATCTTTTTTAATTCGAAAATGGGAACCTTAAAACAAATCCGTCCGGTCTTTAACACAAAGAAACCCTCTCTCTATACATATATCTGTGCAATGGGACTCAGTTGCTTACTTAAACCGCCATTTCTCTTCCTGACTGAATTTTGAATCCTGACAGGTTTGGGATAAGCGGAATGGATAAGCAGATAGCTTCAGCAAATCTCCCTCTCCCGATATTCCCCTTAACCATGCATGGATAGATTTCTCTTCATAACTGAATTTTGAAGTTTGTGGGATTAGCGGAATGGATAACGATATAGCTTCAGCAAATTTCTCTCTTGATTTCCCAGTAACCATGGATAGATAATAAAGGAAGAAAACAGTAATATATATCCGAAAAATCAAAATCAAGTATGGCAAAGTTCGTTAAAATCCATGTTTAAAAATTAATACACCAAAAATACTTTGTTTGCGTGTTTTCGTAATTTTATTTTTAAAAAAATTAACAGTATAAAGCTTTATTACTAAGATTATCTAGAAGAAAAAAAAAAAAAGGCCTACCCGGTAGGCTTACAGACCTTAATTTTTTTTAAACAAAATATAGATACTAAATTATTAAAATTTTGACATTTTAATATTTTAAAATATATTTTTAAATTTAAATTAAAAAATTTTAATTTTTTATTAATTAAATAATATTCTAAGACGAGTTGAGCGGGACTGAATGTCAAAAAAATCTTATCAAAAGCTCCGTACGAGTCAAGCTAAATCCATTGAATTAGACGGATTATCTGACTAGACGGATAATTCTAATAGAATTCACTCTTCTTTTTTTAAATGATAAGGGATCTAACAACTAGAACTTCGGACTTGTACATTAATTTGCAAAAATATACTGTAGACTAATAAAATGTTCGTTTAGTGATAAGTAATTTGATTTCAAGCGAATTTTATTTTTTAAAGACAGAAATTCTCTTGAAACTTAGAAAAAACTCCCTTGGAAGGAAAAATAATTTAGGTGATCATTATTTTTAGATCACTGATATTTCATTCCTCGAAATAATGACATCATTTTTGTCACTATTTTCTTACAAAATATATATAAATATATATGCCACGCATCGAGATTTAAGCTTTGAATCCGCACGACTTCGAGACCTGGACATCCATTCATCCGACGTATCAAATCAGCTTACTTGTCACGGTTCATACTATTATAAGGTATTGTCCGCTTTGACCCCTTTGACCTCACGATTTTCTCTTACAAAAGGCATCTCACAAGGAAGAAAAAGGTGGTGTGAATCTTTTTATACTTCAGTGACCATCCTATTATATTCGATGTGAGATTCAAGACTCTTCCTTAGGTCCGTGACATTTTCCTTCACCCAACCTCGTGACATCTTATGGAAAAAAAGAGGATCTTGTATCAGATGCACAAAAAAAAAGAAATTTTAGATCCGTTCTTTCAAATCAAGAAAAAGATGTTGAAGAAGATTATGATAAATCATACAATCAAAAAAAAGGTAAATCATACAATGAAGAAAAAGATAAATCATACAATCAAGAAAAAGATGTTGAAGAAGATTATGGTAAATCATACAATGAAGAAAAAGGTCAATCTTCCGGGGCCCAAATAACTCAATTTTCTCCCATGAACTATTTGTGTCAATGGATTTGTTCGATCCAAAACTTGAGACAATGGGTGTAATCCGAAAAAGGATTCATAAGTGGTTGTTAATGGAGTCGAAGTTACCAAATTATGAGGAGTCGGTATCAATTTATGCCTAATTGCTCCGCATATAGTTCCTCTAACTACATTTTCTAAACGAACCAGAGCCAATCCGAATTGATCTTATAAGAGATCCGCTACAGAACGAATATGCTTATTTTTCAAATGATTCATATCATCAAGTGTATCCATTTTTAGGTCCGTGACATTCTCCCTCACCCAACCTCGTGACGTCTTCATCACGGAGGCTGGCCACCCTATCTACTTCCCTCGAGGTGCTTGGCGTAGATCGAACGGTTTAGGACTAGCTTTGATACCACTTGTCACAGGTCGAGACTTAAGTTTCGAACCCGCGCAGCTCCGAGACCTAGCCATCCACTCATCCGGCATCCCAAATCAACCTACTTGTCACGGTTCACACCTTTGTAAGGTATTGTCCGCTCTGACCCATCTGACCTCACGGTTATGTCCTACAAAAGGCGTCTCACAAGGAAGAGGTTGTGTGAACCCTTTTATACCTCAGTAACCCTCCTATTATATTCGATGTAGAATTCGAGACTCTTCTTTAGGTCCGTGACATATACTCTATAAAAAATACTTAAGTATTTAATTGTATAATAACAGCCAAAAATTCATATAAATTAAATACTAGTAAATTATTTTTTATTATCTCAATATCATTTATGAGATTTTTTATGTGAGTGATTGGATTTTAAAGATAAAAAATTTTTCTAGTTATTATACATTTAAAATTTTCTAATAAAATTGACAAAAACAATTTACTATTATAACGATCATAAATTAAAATTTAATTACTATCAAACTAACCCAACAAATTAATTTACAAATTAATCTCTTAAATAATTTTAAAAAATTAATCACTTAAATAAGCTTAATAAAGAAATATTTATATTATGAGTCAATGGTAGTTTTGGCACTTAAAAAATTTGAGAAACTATACAATTGATATTTAAACTAGAAATATGTATTTATGGATACTATGTAATATTTTGATCATCAACTAATACCATTAATGAATTTATTCACTGATATCTAATATATATATATATATATATATATATATATATAAAATAACATACAAAATTACAAAATAAGGTATGTCATGTAGATGCTTATATAGATAGTTTATATTTTTTATACATAAGAAAACAATTTAATTTTAATTCTCTATTAAAGAATCCTATTCAATTAATTATTTAATTTTAAAAATATTTGAAACTTTAAAAGTTAGGATTATTTAATTCTTTCAACCATTTTATCTTAATTTGAATAAAAATAAATTTATCTCAAAATTCACTCTTTTTAAATATATACAATTTAAAATTTAAATAGTTTTTTCATATTAAATTCCTAAATATTAGGAACAATAAGAGCATTTTATATCATTTTCAATTAAAACTACCAAGTCTATATTTCAAATATATAGATATATATAGCATTTATAAGGAATTTGATTTCTTTTTTATCATTTATTATGTTTTATTTAAATTAAAAAAAAAAAAACCATGTGTCTTAATTCCCATCCAAAAATTATCTTAAGATTTTAAATCTTTTTTTTTTTAGTTTACAATTTAATTTTCCCTAAAAAATATGATGCATGTGTCCTATGCAAACAGGTATGATACTAAAATGTTATGAAATAAGCTTTTTGTTAACAAGATTGACGAACCAAAACCTGAGACTACGATCATGATAAGCTTTAATGAAAAAATCGAGAAAAGCAATCATGTTAGCTGAGGAGAATGATCTTCAAGGAAGTTAAAACCTTTATTTCAATCCTCTCTGTTTGAAGCAAGATAACAGATAGATAGATATATCAAGTGAAGAATTGATTACATTTCTGTTTTTTCTCGTGTTTTTAATATACTGTTTGTTGAATAATTGATTTCACTTCAGGCTGCTGTAGTCTTATAAATAAACGTAAAGATTCCATTGAGGACACTGATGGAGCTGATGTTGGTAATGAATAGGCTATCACTAAATATGTGGATGATATCTACAAGTTCTACAAGCTCCCAAGAGTAATAATCTTTCGCTTTTAATAATATATTTTTTTCTTCTATATATTTCATATTCTAACATTATAAGTCTTCTTATGCAGGATGAGGGTCGATTAAATGATTGTATGAATTTGCAACAGATATCAATGCAAAGATGAGATCAATTCTCATGGGTCGGTTGCTTGATAGTCCACCGTAAATTCGACCTTATGCCAGAAACACTCTTACTCTGACTATTGTTGATCGATTCCTTTCGATGAAGGTTGTATCAAGAAAGGAACTTCAGTTAGTAGGAATCAGTGTAAAGCTTGCTCATAGCATGCAAGTATGAAGAGACGTGGGCACTAGATGTCAGGGATCGAGATTTAAACTTCGAATCCGTACGATTTTAAAATCCGAACATAAATTCATCCGACGTTTAAAATTATATAAATTTATAAATGTTTAAAAATGATTTCACAAGATGAATATTATTTTTGTAGGGTAAGAAATAAAGTAAGCTTTAGGTACATTTATTTTAGTATTTAAAATTATTATTTTTTTAAAATAAATAAAATTTATCTTAAAATTATATAAATTTGTAAATGTTTAAAAATGATTTCACAAGATGAAAATGATGCAAATGGAAGAAAGTTAATTTGAAATGATGAAATTTTTAGTTTTTACTTTAATATTTTGTTGGTATAATTAATACTATTATTTATAATATCTTTTGGATATTTTATTATTCTTTTAAATATTATTTTATATATTTGAAATTTGTTAAATTTTTAATAAAAATTTTAATTTTATGATGATTTGATATTTTAATTATATTATATATATTTTTATATATCTTGAATATAAAAATAATTAAATAGTTTTTATATGTTTACATATTTAAATAATTAAATATAATTTATGGCTTGCACGGGAAGCAAAATTAATTTGACTAATAAAATAAAATCAATCATGTGTATGTCACGTGTGAAATAAAAAATTTTAAATAATTTTAATATAAACATAGATGTCATATCAAAATTTTCAATTCTTTAAAATTTAGTAAGCAAATGTTTTTTTTAATTTGTTTTTCAAAAAATGAAAAGCAAAAGAAGGTGGGTCTCGGGAGGGTCCAAGTCGCGCGGGTCGAGGAGGACAGAATTCGGTTTCGAGACCGTTTTTGAACGGGAAGGTGGCAGGTGGAAATTGGGTGGTCGGTGATGCACATTTATGATCTATATATTTTCATGACATATTCTTACTGATTTGTGTATGTATACACTGGCCGATGGATGAGCTTGGATTTTATGATTGAAGCTTGGCCCAACACCCAACCTTAATTGGCATAAAGAAACCTTTTCTGTCGCTTGAAAGCCCAAACTTGGATTATGTTAGGTGAAGAGTTTTTTTTTTTTTTTTTTTTTTTTTTGTTTTTTATCAATCATAAATATAAAAATGATCATGGGGATACACACCAAATACAAAACACAATTTTAATTTTTTTTTATCAAATTCATATATATTTTTTCTAAAACTTTAATATATTTTCTTTATATTGTTTTATTTAAAATTATCAAATTTAATAAAAATAAATAAGGAGAAATCCTGTCATATGTGGAAGTTAAAGAGATAATACTAATTAGAAGAGGAAAAAAAAAGCAATAAGAGAAAATATAGTATTATTCTGGTAAAATTGTTCCCTACACCTTGACATAATACTTATTGCTTTATTAATGCGAAAATGCAGAAATAGAAACAGCCAAGAAGGTAAATCTCAGGTTTATTACAAAGTACAAGCAACTTTCAAAAACCAACCATCTGCAACACAGATCACACAATCGAATTGGCTTAACTTCAACAAGCTTGGGTGGATGCCATGTGAACAATCAAGTCAATCACACGAGAACTGCAAAACAAGACGGGCCAAGTGTCATACGACCATAACCAACAATTCAGAGGCCATGTATCCAAAGGAAAATAAAGCGAAAGGCTGCATTACCTATAACCCCATTCGTTGTCATACCAGGCGACAAGTTTCACGAAGTTCTTATTTAGAGCAATACCAGCCTTTGCATCAAATATACTTGACCTGAGTACAGCACAAAAAAACAAATAAAAATCAACATTCGGACACTAGGACAACTTGTACGTTATGATCACCAATTCCTGTCTAGTAACATAAATGCAAAACCTAGACATGGAAAAACAACAAAATTTTTATCTTACCTGCTGTCACCAACAAAGTCTGTGGAGACAACATCTTCTTCAATGTAACCCAAAATGCCCTTAAGCTTGCCCTCAGACTCCTCCCTGCAATCATCAGATCGTGGATGAGAAATCAAATAATGATACCATAAAGACATTGAGGTTCCACAAATGGTATTATCAGAAGACTTAATTACTTGATAGCAGCTTTGATCTCGTCATAAGATGCAGACTTCAAGAGCCTAACAGTGAGGTCCACAACTGATACATCGACTGTAGGAACTCGGAAGGACATTCCAGTCAATTTACCATTAAGGGCAGGCAGAACTTTTCCAACAGCCTACATATTTACAAAATCATACAATAAATATATAAGAAGGAATTGAACTGCTACATCTGTTAAGCTAGCATACCAAATTCCATAACTTTATATTGCAAAAAAAGAAGGGACTAATCAAATCAAAACATATACCTTGGCAGCTCCAGTGCTGCTAGGAATGATGTTGAAGGAAGCAGCTCTTCCACCTCTCCAATCCTTCATTGATGGTCCATCAACAGTCTTTTGTGTGGCTGTGACCCAAAAAGAATTAAGAAAAAGTTAATTAACCCATTAATCCATTTTAAAGAGTTGAAAAAAAGGTTAAAAAAAAAAAGTCATCACTTACCAGTGATGGAGTGAACTGTAGTCATGAGACCCTCAACAATTCCAAATCTGTCATGGATAACCTTGGCAAGGGGAGCAAGACAGTTGGTAGTGCAGCTAGCATTAGAAACAATGTCAAGCTCAGGCTTATATTCTTTCTCGTTCACACCCACTACAAACATGGGGGCATCTTTGCTTGGAGCAGAGATAACAACCTTCTTAGCACCACCCTGAAAACAAACACCAGCAGCAACGAAATTCCAGTCAAGCTTCCAGATAATACTAACTAAAAAACAAAAACCCAACAAAATTATTTTAAAGAAACCTTCAAGTGAGCAGCAGCCTTGTCCTTGTCAGTGAACACTCCAGTTGACTCAACAACGAACTCAGCTCCGGTCACCGCCCATGGAATCTCCTCAGGATTCCTAAACCATCAAACAAAAATAATTAAAACCAAAAAACAAACAAACCCAGATTAGAAATGGGATTTTGTTTAAATAGAATAGTTATTTTTACCTGATTCCGAAAACCGTGACAGGTTTTTTGCCGATGAGAAGGGTTTTAGAGTCTTTGACCTTAACATCATGGTGTTTCCATTGTCCGTGAACGCTGTCGTATTTGAACATGTATGTCTACATTTTCCCCGCAAATATTAAAAGGAAAATGACGATTAAGACTTTAACCACAGCTTTTAAAATTATAACCACTGGAGTAATTAGTTATACCATGTAATCAGTGGAAATGAAGGGGTCGTTAACAGCAACGAGTTCAACATCGTTCCTCTGAAGAGCAACTCTGGCAACCAAACGTCCGATTCTTCCAAATCCTGAACCATTTTTCATTTTCATGTTTAGCATCTAATTAACCATAAATCCACACATGCAAAAACATTTAAAAACAGTACAAAATAATAGATCGGATAATTACCATTAATCCCGATCTTAATCTTCTTGTCTGAAGCTGCTTAAATCAAGTCAAACGAATGATTACAAAAATAAATTAATGAAGAAAAAACTTATTAACAAAACGAAATGAATTGAAAAAAAATGATTGATATGAAGTCATTACCCATTGGCAATTTATGATTTTAGAGCTACGCAAAGGGTTTTAAAGTAAGATTTAGTGAGGAAAGAAGGAGGCAATGAGGGGTTTTTAAAGGAAGGAGATAGAGAAATATGCAGGTGAATTTTCACGTGACGAGAGGCGTTTAAATTTTCCTTGAGGAAAAAGAAAAGCCGAAACCGGAATGGTAGCTAGGGCCGTGGTTTTTTTTTTTTTTTAAAGGATCTTGTATTAGCTGCTGGATTTACTTAGGACTTAGGAAGAGTACGTCCACGCGCAATAATGAGATATGACTTTCACTTTTATTAATTAGGGAGGAGGTTGATGAAGACGGTGAATTCACTTGCTTGATCGAGAGTGGGAATCGGAAATTTCTACTTTGAACATTCAGCAGCGTCAAAGCCGCTGGTTTAGAGGAGTCAAAAAATCAAAATGGAAGAAGATTTGAACATTACCCAATGGGAGCTTTACATGTCTCTGGAGCGTCTTTTACACATTTGTCCAAATAAAAGGTAAGATCACGACTGATTTAATGAAATTGGTGAAAAAAAATGAGCACGTCGTATCAACAAAGAATTCTAAGAATATACTTTTTTTCAGAACAGTCCAAAAAAATTGTTTTTTAATTTTTGGTGTGAAATAAAAAAATTTAATTAAATTTTAAAAAGTAATGAGTTTCTGTTCTTTGAATGATTATTTAATCCAATTAAATGCTAAAAAGAAATTAATATCTGATGTGATAAAAGTTTTTTTCACGAGTAAATTATACAATTTTTTTTAAGTCAGGGGATGCACACTATTATACGGTATCATATGATATTATTTTTAAAATTAGTATGATAATTTAATTATCAAAATGATTTTATTATTCATGATTTAGAATCATTAATTCTTAATAATTAAAGATCATTAAATTTATTTCTATTAAAAATCAAATATTATTTTATTTAAAAATATTAAAATAATCGTGCACTTTATAATAGTTATATAAGTTAATGATTTTAATTTTATTTTAAAATAATAATTTGTGTATGAAATATTAATAATATTTTATTTACTTCATAATAAATATAATTAAATTATTAAATTAAAATTATATTTATTGATAGTAAGTTAGTTTTTATAGTATAAATTATGTAAAAATATATTTGAATTAAAAATAAAATTAATATATTAAAATAAAAATGTTATATTTTAAATAAATTTAAGAAATTAACAAAAATCACACAAAATATTTTTGAACTTTTTACAACTAATATTAGCTTAAAAATATAAAAATTATAATAATAAAAAATTACAATTAATTTAAAAAAAATATGTTTTTAATTCACATATTAAAGTGGTAATATTAATTATTTTTAATTTTATATATTACTTTAAATTGGTAATAAAAGTTTCTTATTCTTTAGATGATAATTAAATTATCCTATAAAATAATGATTTAATAATTCTTGATGATTTAAAATTAGTGTCACGTAAAACCATTAAATAATTATCAAATACACAAATTTAATTATTATGTATAAATTATCGTAATTTTTTAAGTGATCATTTTATACCAAATACTATGTGAAAATTTTGATGTTTTGTTCTCTTTTCTTTGGATATAATTTTCCAAAATTTATTATGATAATAAATAAATAATTTCTTCTAGAATGTGCTTTACCGTTTATTTGTCTTTTTGGCAGAATATTCATGCAATCATTTATCTGCAAAATTATTGATTTTTTCTTTTTTCTAATTTTCAACGTTGTTGTTTTGTATTTGTCCACTTTACTTTGGGTTAATCATAATTTTGGTATTCAATTTTTAAAAAATATACAAATTCATATCTTAATTAAAAAAATTGATCCTGAACTTTTAAATAAATAATTTTCCATTCAAATTTATAATAACTCATGTATTTGTGTAGAATAAAATATTAATAATTCATATTATATTTTATATCAAAATTATAAGTTACAATTTGTGTAAATATGAAAACATAAAATATTTTTTATTTTGTTAATTTTTATATAATTTTTATTAAAATTTTAAATTATGTGATTTTTACATTTTTTTATTATTTTTGTAAGATGTTATCGTATATTTTTTAAATAATTAAATTTAAATTCAAAAATTACTATACGACATTCGTGTGAAAATTCAAACAAATATTTAAATATTTTATTTCACCCGTGACATACGAATGGCATGACGAATGGCAGCTTATTAATTTATTTAATATTAAAATTTTCGGCCAATTTTTGCATTAAAAATTAAACTTGAAGATGTTAAAGTGTTTTATTTCGTTTTTGATGGTCAACAGGGAAAATTAAAAGCCATGAAATCTGAAAATTGAAAGCAGCAGTATGAAGCCCCGAGCCATTGCTCAGGTCGCAAAGGATAAAATAAACTTCAAAAAGAAGATATTTTTGGCGTCGCCCGGACTCGAACCGGAGACCTTCAGTGTGTTAGACTGACGTGATAACCAACTACACCACGACACCTTCTGGTGGTTCTCAAAGCTATTAATTATTATTAATAATAATCAAACCAAAATTAAAAATTTTACTGCTAGTTTTGTCGTTGTAACTATGTTATTGTAATTTATTTATAAATCTAAGTTTAAGTAATGATTTTATTGTTTTAATTAAATAAATGGTAATGTTTATTATTTTGGTTTCATATTGTAACAATAAATAGAAATTTAGAAATAGTGCCATTGCCAATCTTCCCTCATGAATTCCAGCTAATGTTAGCTGGTGAGCATTCGTGGTTTGCTTCGATTTCGTGTAATTAATAAAGGAGTTTTCTAACGACTTTCTTTTATTATACGAGTTATGTTACTTGTTCAATTAATTATGTCCCAAATATTAATAAATAATTTTTTTAATAAAAAAATTACATCCATTGAAATTTAAAATTTTAAATTTATTAGATATTATATCTTAAAAATAATTATATAAATTAATCAAGTTAAATTTTGAATTCAACATCTAAATATAGATTATTGACACATTAGGAGAGACAAATGTGAGGGGAAAATATTTTCTTTACTATATAAAGTTATATATTTTCACCTGTTTGCATTGAAAATTATCAATGAAGTTAACTATTATTGTGTTTAATTCGAAATTATAATAAATAAAATATTAAAAAATTTTAATATTATAATTATAATTATAATTAAATATTATATTTATTTGATTAATTGAATAATTAATTATTACATTATAATTTTTTATCAATAATTATTAAATTATAATTAAATTATAATAACTGAATAATCAATTAACAAAATAAAAAATCCTAAGCATAATAAAACTTAAATATAAAATATCAGGTTCAAATAGTAAATAATCTTAAAAATGGACACTCATTAGCAAAAATCCATTAATAAATACTAATCAATACTATTTCTTTAATGTCACAAACGTAACCAAATTCAATGCTTGAAACTGAAACGCAACTAAAAAAATGCAACCATTGCCGCATTTCTTCTTTGTACAGAATATTCCACGGTATAGAGGCATGAAGGAAAACCGAATAAAGAGGGAAGCGCAAAGCGCAAGCCCACGCCCACGCCCACGCCCACCGACTACCGACTACCGACCGTTCTTTTTCAAGGTTAACAACTCACACCCAACTAAATTGACCAAAAAGGTTGGCGGCTGCTATTCGCTGACTGCTTATTTTCCTTACCGTATACACATGCATAAACGGTTGGCTTCATGTCAAAGAAAATGAGGAACACAAACCTACGTTTCTACGATATTCTAGGAAGTTGTGTCCCGAACGCCCAGTCAATTCCGAAATATCAGCTCTTGGCATAAATTGAGTTCCATTCAAACTTTCCTATCTCTTTTTAAATAAGTTTTCTTGGAGAAGGGGTGATTGGGTTTGGTCTATCTGATATCTCTCTCTTCTCTTTTGTCTCGTCCGAGTAATCTCTGATCTTTTCCAGATCTCTAGCTAACATGGCTTCTACAAACAGATGGCTCAGACCTGAGGTATACTTTTTTTCTTCTTTACTTCTCTTTGTTCTGTCATTCTCTCGGCAACATTATTTTTTGGTTTCAACAGGAGATATATACCAATGCACATAACATGTTTAATATATATGATATAGCCATGTATGCTTTGTTGTTTGTCGAGAAGAGGGGTAAAGCTATGAAATTCAAAATGTTTAGATCCGATAGGGAGAAAAATCACCTATAAGGTTTCTTGTTTTCTGTCAAGGAAATCTAATATACTTGATATTCTTTCCTATTTGTTTTGGGGTTTTACAATTTTTTGTGTTCATTCTAATATACTAATTTGAAGTCAGAACTCGAATCCTACCTTGTTTTCCCAACTTGGCATCAAAATCTCGAAAGTCTTTGGGTTTTTGTTACCTTTAATTATTTGATGTAAGGGCTCAACTCAGAATCTAATACATTCAATATGTTAAGAACTCTGTTTCTTCCATGATTGTTGGTCATCTTTTCTTCCATTTACAATTCAGAAAAATCAAATCAATTTTATGGTTTCTTCCTTTTCATGCGGGTTAGGTGTATCCGCTATTTGCATCGGTCAGCGTCGCTGTTGGCATTTGTGCCATGCAACTTGTGAGGAATATCACCACTAACCCTGAAGTGAGGTATATCTCTGTTCTTGGCTCTGCATCATATTTTCTTTTTTGGATTATTGATTAATGTGTTAGACAATTTCATTTTAACTAAAGTTAGATGTAAGATGAAAGTTAAATGAAGAAATCGAAATTAATGTAACGTTTTTGAATTTGATTCAGGGTGACCAAAGAGAACAGGACTGCTGGAATTCTTGAGAACCATGAAGAAGGTGAGAGATATGCAGAACATGGACTCAGGAAGTTTGTCCGCAAGAGGCAGCCTCAGATTATGCCATCCGTCAATAACTTCTTCTCTGACCCAAATTAAAGCGAATGCTGAATTCATCCACCTTGTAGGTTGAGAATGTTTTGGTCATGAGATTTTTATTGAATTGGAGAAAGTTGGACAATGAGATTGTTTTTCTAAATAAAGGGCTTAGTGCATAAGACAATACTTTTGTTGATTGACAAGTTGTTGAGATATTCTTCTTGAATAATAAAATTATCGAAAATCATTCCCCTTTCTTTTTTCCCTGGTATTGCCTTTTCACAGCAGGATTCACGGCTTGGAATTTCCTTTCTATCTATTATTATTCAAGAAGCTTAAGCAGTTGGATCATGCAGTCATCCTTAATACAGTCGTCCTTAAGTGACAAGAATTCAAATTTCAATACTAGTAATATCTTCTTTTGTTCTCAGACTGTAACTTTCTTTGGAAAAAAAAAAGCTGAAGCAGCAGTGATCATATTAAAATAGCTGGTTATATTTGGGATAAATGGCAGATCTGTAAGTCTCAGCTTAACCAAATGATATGATCCTATTTTACCATCCTGAAGTGGTCCTCTTCCTAATCTTTTAATTAATTATCCTGGTTCAGATGAGCATGTCTAAGCTACTTTACGTTTAATCCCTGATCCTTGTCCAATATCTGGACGAAATGTGAATGCCAATTGGAAAAGTCGAGGAGTAATACTTGCAACGCTTTTATAGTTTGTAGCGTCAACATCTGAATAGGAGAAGTATGAAAACTGAATCATTGAAAACAAATTCTTGTACTCCGATGAACATCAAAATCTTGAAGGTGAATTACTGTAAAGTTGGTTTCCCTCTTCTCATGCTTGATATTATGTTCCGCGGCCGACCAGGCAACCGGACTCACGAGGAAGATGATGGCTAATCAAGGAATCAGTTTAAAATTCTACTGATAATTATCTTTAAGGAAATTGGTGTCTTCCATATATTGATCAATGGAAGACAGCAATGACCAAAAGAAAAAGGAAGATGATCATTCTGCTTAGATGCAAGTTGGAAGTTCCAGTGGCAATCTTGGTTCCACATTAGGATATTCCAATCAAAATAGGAAGAGGATAGTGACACTATTGAGATCACTTTGTTGTATCTTGTATGCTTTCATCTGCTAGCAACTAATTTTCAAGTGGAAGATTTTGTCATATTGCCAGAACTCGTTCCAAGCTGCTGGAAGAATAAAATATGCTGGATGCATCTTGAGTTTTATTTCTACCAAAGTTGAAAATGTTTATTAAAGTACCATCTTTTGAGTTCAAATTAATTCATTGCTAAATTGATGATTGTTATTGTCATTCTTTTCTTGATTTTTCTATACGGAATAGTAATTAAGTTAAAGTATTGTTAAAATCGAATCGGATCAATCAATTAGATTGATTGAATTAAAAACCGATGATCATTCTAATTTTTAAAATTAAAAAAAAATTTCAATGTTCATTGAATTATTAAAAGTCAGTCAGATTTTGATTACATCAGATTGGATCAGATCGAATTAATTGGATTGGATTTGATTTTAATTAATTTTAATTATTTAAATTAATAATTATTCTTAAAATTTTTTAATAATTGGTAAGATTTAAACACTTACCACATGTTAACCAACAAGTCAAATATATTTATTTATCAAATAATTAGGTAGTGTCCCGTATGTTGTTACGGTTCAACAATAAAAATAATTAAAAACATTAAAATATATTTACACATACTTATTTTATTAACTTGTGAAATATTAAACTCTTTAAAAACAAATATAAAAATCTGCCATGAATAATAAAAGAAAATTCGAAATAGATTGAAGATTTTGCAACACAAATCAATAAATTCATAATTAAATTCTTTTAATATCTTTCAAATTTATAAACTAGATCTTTTAACTAATGGGTTCTGTAAAAAAAAATTATAAATTAGTTAGTATATTTATCAATAAATCATAAGAGTTTAAATAAAATGATAAAAAAATATTTACAAATCAGCTAATATTTTTTAGAGAAGTAAAATCAAGATGAAAATTAGAAAATAAAAAATGAGTAATTTTTTTAAAGTTTTCTTATAAAAGATTTTGAAAGATCAACGACATTAAATAGATCGACAGAAAAAATGATTAGATAAAAAAGAAAAAGAGATTTTATCATTTTTGGGTTTAACAAATTAAAATTTTTACTTTTTTTTCATTCAATGAATCAATTAATTGTGATATTGTGATGAAAAAATGGATAATTGCTGAAATTAAATATTTATTGATTTGAATATTCTCTTGAATAATTATAGAGCTTTAATTTGTAAGTAAAAGATCAACCTGGCTTGTGAAATTATTCAGTTAAATAAATAAAAAAATTTATTTATAAAATTGACATGTAACATTTTTTCATAAAATTGTAAATTCAACTAAAATTACGTTAATTTGTTATATTTAATATATTATTAATAATATTTAAAACTATAATTAATGTTTTGATTAAATCGGTCGGTTGAATCGAAAACAAAATATTTATCCACTCCAACCATCGGTCCTATTATTAAAATATTGGTTACAGTTAGAAAACAAGGATGATAGCATTCATCCCACACTGACAAGAGAGACCGGTAATCAGCTCCAGAACAAGGATAAAAAGAACCAGGTATCCCTTTTATGTATTCATTAACCGTGGGACGGGTAGAGAGCATGCAGTAGCTTAAACTGTTACTGAAAAATACCTTGTGAGCGAGCAGCAGCTAGCGGTGTGAGTTTATTTTAGGGGGGCTCTTCCATTAATAGAGGTGCCCAAAAGCTCTCGTGTTGGTACATACTACACCATTAGATACCTTCCACATGTTTGCCGTCCATGTATCATTTCTGTCCATCCTCAATACAGATTCTTATGGTTGTTCTTGGATGATCTCAAGAATTCAGCCGCCAACTTTGAGAATGAAGAAGATTTGTCCTCAAGTAATCACCGGGGCATATCAAACTCTACAATTTTCCCTGGCATTAAGCAAACATATTTGTTGCATTCATCTAAAATCAATCTCCAAATGCAGCATTATCTAAAATCCAAAGCAGTGCTACTTTGTGCTATTGGACTTTATGCCTATCTGATAATTGCCATCTGTAGTCTCAAAAAACATTAACTATGTTTCAAATTTGTCATATTGATGCATGTTTAGCACCAGTAATAGTTCTGCATCAAGTGGTGGAGCACTTCATATGATTGATCCCATTAGTTATTTTATGTTGGTTCGCAGGGAAACTATAATTTTAATAGGATTACTTCAACTTACCCTTATCAAGAACCAGAACAAGTCATTGTCAATAACAGTTGGTATCCGATGTGCCACAGTGATGACAGTACATCTGGTTGTCTCGTCTCTTATTGTCTTTTGAATCACATTATCTGTGGCTGTATCAATGGAAGCTGTGGCCTCATCCAACACCAAAATTCTCCTTTTCTTTAGGAGCACCTTAGATACGCAAACAAGCTGCCTTTGTCCAACACTCCAATTCTCTCCATCTTCAGCTACTGCACAATTTACCAGATTTCAGAATCAACTACCCTAACAATTATATCAAGTGACTGAAATATATTTTTCAATTATTAAAATTTTATACCTGGAGCATCAAGAAGCCGTTGATCCTGCCCCACTATATCCGCAAGACGACACTTTTTGAGGACCTGCCGTGAGTTTATTTCAATGAAACAGGATACATATATAAAGAGAGAAACTAAGTTTTAACATTTACCTCCCAGATTTCTTGATCCGTATGTTGTTGCAAAGGGTCCAGATTGGTCCTTATAGTTCCTTGAAACAATATTGGGTCTTGCGGGATTATGCCCAATCTAGACCTCAAATCCTGCAAACCAATAGTAGAAATATCTACTCCATCAATAATAATCTGTCCTCCTGAGAGCTCCACCACCCTGAAGAGAGCCTGGATTAGAGTGGACTTTCCACTCCCTGTTCTGCCAACAACTCCAATTTTCTTTTCTCCGGGGAATGTGCAAGTTATACCTTTAAGAACCATAGGGAGAGTAGGTTTATATTGAACCTGAAGGTTTTCAAGTTCAATTCTTCCTTCTGTTGGCCAGTCAGGCTTTGGCCTGCAATTCTCGATCACTAAGGGAGCTTCACTTGGTATGTTTGTGAATTGAAGAATTCTCTCAACTGATATCATTTTGTTTTCAACATTGCATAAGTTCCATATCACCCATGCCTGCAGTACATTTAAGTTCAAACCATATGTGGCTGCCAATCCTTCCAAGCCTGATGTCACATCAGCATACTCTTTAGTTAGAAACTCGACATTAAAGATTTCAAACGGAAGAAACTTCTCAAAAACCAACTATCAAAATGATCAAAGAAAGAAGCAGCGGAAGGAAGGAGCTTACTGGGGTCGATAGCGGATCTGGGCAGGCTAAGTAGGATGATCAACACCAGGAAGAAGACAAAGTTGAAAAGAAAGTTGATTCTAACACACAGCCACTCCATTGTGCCATAGTTATGGAAGGCTACACGAGAATAATCATCAATTAAGCTCAGGCTTTTCTCCATGAACCTGTCTTCCTGGCCGAAACAACGGATTGTTGCTGCCCTGTGATAGATTCAGAGAAATGATTTAAGATAGGAGCCTTTCTAATTCCAACCATCCTTGCTAGCTCCCTAGCAGTGGTAATATAATAGGTCTGTAGATAATTTAGGGCGTTTAGAATTTGAAACATCAAAAAGAAATAAAAATAAAAGATATTTTCTACACGTAGATGCAAGTTACATTAGTAATTGTCTTTTGCAATTTCTTTGGCACCTTTTGCGTATTGTCGGAGACAAGTAGAATATGTTTGATATGAATTTGGTACTTGCCTGATACCAGAAGGAGATTCCGAGGATGGCAAGGAAGAGAAGGAAGATCTGCCAGGCGACATGGGACATAAGAATGATGATACTTAACAACTGAATTAGAGCAAATGCCAGTCCGGCTAATCTGTAAGGAATGTCTGTGTCTAATGTGCTTTGATCTGTAGAAGACTGTAATAACAATAGTGAAAGAGAGAATTAAATTATGATTTCAGAAAGAATTAGGCAATATTATGGGAAGTGAAAAGCAGTTGAACTTTGCTGCAAACAAGAAACTAACCCTATTGAGAATTCCACTTGAAGGAGTGGAGTCAAAGAACGAAATGGGTGCACGGAAAACTGATGTTATCATTCCAAGGAAAAGATGTTGAGCCGTCTCCACCGCAATAGTTGCCAGCAAAACTGCCCTTCCCAGTATGAAGATGGAGCTTCCACCAGACAGCAAAATAAATATGCCTATTAACTGTTTTCTTGATACCCTGTGATTTTTCTCTGTTGCCCAAGCAATCCAGTAATTGCTACCCATTTGTAGTACCTGGAAGAGAACTTGACAGGAAAGGATGACAGGAACAAGTGCTCCCTTATAAGCTGCACTGACAAGGGTTGAGTAAACACTCCATTTGACACGACCAGTTTCTGTTTCTTCTTCTTGACTCCTTTCGAAGAGCTTTGCATAGCAGATGGGCTTTCCATGTTTTTCTTCTATGACTTCAATTTGACTTATCTGACAGGGTCCAGCTGTCAAGGAATCGTATTCTTGGGGTGGTTTCACTTCGTCTAGTGATTTTCTATGAGCATTCATTTGCCTAACGAGTTCACCATCAGAATCACCAATCAACTCTTCATATTTTCCTGACTGAACAATGAGACCATCTTTCATCACCTATAAGAACATGCACAAAAGGCAGAATGAGACTTCAACAGTTGGTTCCTTGTAGTTTTCTATGTGAACCATAGGATTTTACCAGAACAAGGTCTGTTGCATCTAAAAATTCCAATTGGTGTGTAGCATAAATGACAGTCTTCTGAGACAACAATCCTTTGAGACATTTCTGCGAAAAAAAAAAAAAATCATGCATTAAGCAACCTAAGAGTACGAGTATGCACCTTGAATAACAAATAGCAATTGAAACGAGAGTTAGGGGTGTCTTTTACCTTGAACAGATGTGTTCCTGTATGAGCATCAACTGCACTGAAAGGGTCATCTAGGATATAAATATCAGAATCATTGTAGACAGCCCTTGCCAACTGAATCCTCTGCTGCTGGCCTCCACTCAAGTTCATCCCTCTCTCTCCCACAACACTCATATCCTTATTAACCCACATCTCAATATCTTGGTTCAAGGCGCATGCTTCAAGAACTTTTTCATCGAAAGCATTATTCATATCCTTCCCAAATAATATATTCTCTCTGATAGTGCCTGTTTGAACCCAAAATTTCTGAGGCACATAAGCCTTTTTCCCATAAACCTTAATAACTGCACCAGAAATCCTAGGGATCTCACCTAGTATGCTGGAAAGTAGGCTTGATTTACCTGAGCCAACAGAGCCACAAATAGCTATCTTGTAACCTTTCATTATTTTCATCTTCTCTGTGATTTTGATGGTTGGCTTCTCTAAGTTTTGGCTACTTGTTTCCCAAGTATATTCCCCAGTCTCAATTTCAATTGCAACATCAGATGCTTTTGGACCACAATCAGGTATGAACTTCCTTTGATCTTCTTCTCCAAGGAACTCCTGAATTCGATCAAGTGAGACTTTTGTCTGAGCAATCACGGAAATGAGCTCCGGAAGATTGTGTATAGGTTCTTGTAAAATCCTAAAAGTTGCTAGAGCTGAAAGTACTGTTCCTGATGTTAATGGTGTTTTTAACAAACAGCAGACACCAAATGTGATGACTGACACTAGAGTTGGTGAGGCCCAAAACAGAAAAACAACGGCTGAGCATGTATATAGATACTTATTAAGCCAGTTTCTCTCTGTTTCTCTAAGTTGAATAAGCTTCTTCAAGAAAGTGGGTTCCCATGAGTGGAGTTTTAAGACTCTCATGCCTTTTAGAGTCTCCGATGTTGCTTTTATTCTTGAATCCTTAGCTTCCATGATCTTGGAGTGAAGTCTCTCTTGACTGTTGGCTAATGGTGTGTTACTCACCATCACCAAAATTGTAGCAAAGACAGCAGCAATGGAAGGAGCAGCACCCAGATTCCTGTACAGTATTACCAAGGCAAGAAAGACTTGGATAGGTAGCAACCACACTCCATGAATATACCAGCAAAAGTCCCCAATTCTCTCTGTATCCACATTGATGAGATTTATGATTTTACCATTGCTGGGACCAACAAACTTAGTTGACAGAGATTTTTTGTAAATCAATACTGTGAGAGCTGCACGAACCCTTATTCCAATTCTCCGAGCACCGAAGTACCACAGTCGTTGAGTTAGTGATTCCACAGTCTTTGAAAAGAAGAAGATAAATGCAAGAACCAGCCCATATTGGTAACTTGAACCATCATGCTTTTCCGATAAGAAATTCACAAAGCTGGTGATAAGGAAGGGTCCCATATAGGAGGCAATTGTATTAAGTCCTACAGAAAGTAAACATAAGTATTATAATCTGCTGCATACAGAATCTGAAAATAGATACAATGAATTGAGAAGAAAATACCTGCAAAAACCGCATTTACAGCAAGGGATTTCCATGCAGTACGGGTTATTGCCTTTGGCAACGAAGAAGATTCTGTTTTCTGATTTCGAAGTGATTCTTCCAGCAACAATGAGGCATTATCTGCCGTTTCTGATTCTGGAACTGGAGGAATATGGTGCAATTCAAGTTTTCCAATTCGACCCCTTTCAAGAAGGGGGTTTAGCCATCCGAATGTGAGTTGGCACCAAATGCTAGCATTAGTAAAAGTACTATCTTCTTTGGAGGAATTTTCATCCTCCCTGTGGAGGAATGGATGTTCAAGATCATTGTTTTTGCTAATAGCAAGAGGCAGACAGCAACAAAGCAGTATCAATAAGGCAACGAAGCAATATCAACAACGTTGGCTTCCGGCAAAGGATAAGGCAATTCTTTGGATTTCAAGTGGTGGATAAGGTAAACAGCTACTGAAAGTGAAACAAAAATGCAGGAAAGCACCCACCATAGTATTAGGACTAAAGGCCATGTTTTCTGCCCCCTGAAAGTTCTGTTCTTTGAATAGATTGTAACTAAACTTGCTAGAAACCAAGTGATAGCTGAGCAGAAGGGTTTGGTAGAGACAATTCCACGATTCCAGTAAATATAAAACCCAAAACCCAAGTAAAAAATAGAGATTACAACATTAGATAGAACAGTTATAAGAGTAACGACTCTTACTTCTCTCCCTACTCTACGTTTGCATCACTATCACTATCATGATCATGTCTCCTACGTTTCAAAATGTCTAAGGAAATCCACGTTCGTAAAGCAATGACAAATGGTGCATTTACAAGTTCTAGAGAGACCTCCATCGGAGCTGACTCAGAATCCTATAATTCCCAATCAAAAACCGAAGACACTGAGAAGAAAGTCTCAGGTTTTGGGAAAAGTAGCCTGCAAAAAACAATGCCTCTATCAGTGCACTGACGACGCAAAATATCAAACACCCAATTTAAATAAGAGGATAAAAAATGGTACAAAAAACCAAAACCGAAACCGAGGGAGTAGTCATTCACATTAATGACACAAAACAACAATTTAGCGGTGGGTTTAAAAGAAGAAAAGTGCAAAACAGGAAAAGCTGTTTGAAGGTTTGAACAAAGCATGTGGCTCGTTTCAAAGAGTACTGCCGAGGATGGTTGAGAGCTTTACACATAGTGGGATAGTTTCGGCTGCATTTTTAAAAGCAAACAACAAAGAAACAGTCACCATTTTGGCATCTCGCCTAAGACCTAACTCCAAATTTTTGTTCAGACTAATCCTGTCTTTCCCTTCAACATTGAGACGTATATTGAACAATGCCTCCAAACTATTTATCGCTTTAACATCGAATATATCCTTGGGACCTGTATCTTGATATGGTAGTTTCTGCCAACATGTTTGAAAGGTTTGGCTTAGTCTTTAAGAAATTATGTCAAATTGAAGCTGTTGATTTTATGTAGCCTTAAAATGTCTTCAATTATGTCGACATTTCAAAAACATTCATAAATTGTGTCTATTTTCGCCCACCTTGCCCACTCCATTCCGTACTGGACTGACTGACTTTACATAGGATTCTTGGATTTGCTTTCATATTTATTATTATTATTATTATTATTTTGCATTAGGGAATCATAGCTGAAGTCACTTATTATAATAAATTCGGTCGCTCATAAATTTTCAAGACTAACTTAACATTTATCAGATAATTAATTATAAAAGAAGTGATCAATGTTCTTTGAACAGAAAGCGAGGAAAATATAGATCAGAAGGACGCCAAATTTTACCAACCAACGTTTCTATCACAAAACATTTGAATTTTGATTATTAAAATTAAAAATTCAATATTCTATCACTGAATCACACTGTTGTCGACAAAATTCATGTTGCTTTCCAAAACTATCTATCTTTCCAGGAACCCACCAAGAAACATGATAAGAAGAAACGTGGGTGTCAAAGATTAATTTGCTTTCTCAATTAAACAAATGGAAAGTTCAATTGCCTACCATTCTTGATAAGCGGGCAGATTATTTTAACATTTTCTTACAGAATTTTCCCCTTGCAAACATTAAAATATATCTCCCTTATCATAATTAGCAAGATCATTATATCTTTTAAGAGATTAAATTTTGAAAATATGTGATGATTTTACGTCTTGATATCTTACAAAAAGTAAATACTTTATAAAATTATTGCTCTATATTTATCCCATTTCAGTGCTTGTTTTGCTTGCCATAAAAGCAGTGCTACTAGCTGTCCTGAAAAACGATGGTTTCCTAAAGAGAAAAGTCGTACAGATTCTTCACTCCCATTGATTGGACTTCACAGTGCACAGTGCCTGCATGTGGAAAGTGGAAACATTGCTTTATGTTATCAGAGAATTATGGATATTCTTTGACACGATCAAAGGAATTCTCGGACGTCCGATCTTGGAAATTAGGACTAGGGGCCCCATGATCTTGGTAAGGCCCACAGTGCATGCATGAAACGATCAAATTTGAGAATCATGATTTCGGTTTGGATCGATTTCAGTCAGCCAAAGATTCTTGTCTAATAGCAACGGGGGGTGTGTGTGTGTGGCGCAGAGGATGGCAAGGGGGGATGCGGCGAGAGAATTTCGACTTTTTACAAGGAACAGAAGGACTGAGAGTCGAACACGTGGAGAAGATGCAGTTGTGTGCTGGTTTCGTTTCGTGGTCGTCATGGTGTGGTTTTGTCACTTTGCCGATTCAAGAATTCTCCACAATGGCAAATGTTTTTGTTATTTGGTTGAGGTTGAACAATATGGCAAATGCTGCGTCTCCACGAATGGCATCTAATCCCAATGCCATTTGCCTTTGATAAAGACATTAAGTAATTAAGTCTTTATATATGTTGTAGCATTTAATTAAAGTGCAAATGTATGCATTTGTATGTGACAAATTTTTTTTTTTTTAGAGTAACAAGTAATTAAAGAGGTAGATGTTTAATTGTTTATTATTCTTTAAGTTTGAATGTTCAAAACGACAAACATCCATGCTGCAATGGTCGAATTCATTAAAATATACAACCTCCTATATTATAATATTATCCAAACTACAAAAATTTTTAAGGTTTTATATATATATATATATATATTTTTTGTTCTTTGAGCAGGAATATACGTTGGCAACTTGGCCTACTTGTGTTCTATATCCATTAGGCAAAAAAAAAAAAAAAAATCTTTTTGTTAATTATCAACCATGTTTTTATTGAAAAAAAAATATTTTCAGCTTAATTACTGCTTATCTCAACTAAAGGTCCATGACAAGGTTGGTGACGATGTGATCAAGAATCCAAGATCCTACATATGTTGGCATGCATCAATGAATAATTATATAATATATGTGTTAACAGAAAATGAGGAAATGGATGAACACAAAATGTCGACACATCCTTATTCACTGGGTCTGGGTGGCGATACCAACGTTTGTCTAGAGGTTTCCAAATCATCAGCAGCTGTGACTGTGATACAACACCTTTTGTTTTTCATCATCTTTGACTTGCATTTGCTTGCCCTCTCTATATTTACTTACAGTAATGAATGACTTTTGATTTTTTTTTTTTTTGAATTCGAATGACTTTTGATCTTAGTGCACGTCACATGCTTGCCTTCTCATTCACATAATATAATAATATAGTAATTAAATATATACAAAAAAAAAAATCAATAACCAATATGCTTGGAATACTGCTGTCTGAAGAATCTGTTGTAGTAAAACATTTATACGTGGCCTCATTCTTTAAACAAACTATACACAAAGAATATCAACCACTTTGGTGAGCTTAAATATTTAAATATAATAAAGAAAACTAGCAGTCCAGATTTTTTTTATTCGAAATTAAATTAGTTCATCATTCCATCAACAGATCACAATTGAGGATGGGTATTTGATTCAATCATTGTTTTATATATATATATATATATATATATATATATATTTTAAGAGTATCATCCAATTTTAATATATTTAAAAAACAAATTAAAAAGGAATAATAATAATAATAATAAATATATTCCTTGCAAGAGAACTTAATGCAAATTTGTAGCTAAACGAAGGGAGATATTATTATTTGAGAATTACATCTTAGAAGAGTATCCTCTAATCTGCCAATTCAATAATGAATCTGAGCTTTGACAACCGATGGTGGTGGTGGCGATGGAGGCAGTAGGTCGTCGGGGCAAACACAGAACTCATGTACGCAAATGCATTTGGATGGGCATTTGGAACACACACTACCACAGTCTTCATTTGTGCTGCACTTAAAAGAAATAACAGGACCCCTTGCCTCACCTCCCATCTCTGAATCTGCAACCAAAATTTTTGTTTACCATCTCAGTGCTTAATTCATAAAAAAAAAAAAAGAAAAGAAAAAGAGTTTTCAATGTATCAAACATGTCTGCAAATTAAAGAATATATTTCTTTAAAAAATGAGTAAGATTCAGACAAAAATGAAAGAAACTAACAAGATGAAAGGATTAAGAGGACAGCTAAAAGAACCAAATTGAGAGACGACTTATCCATATCTTATAGTAAAGAAGTTGATGGGGAAAATGTGTATATATATATTAGCTTGGTTCTGTTAGTACATATATATATATATATATTTATATAGTCAGTACTTGGACTTAATTCTTTGAGTGGATTTGTATTAATTTAATTTCATTGTGAAGCTATGTGAATAAAGAAGGAAAGAAAATCAGCTTAAGGAGAATTTGACCTTGTATTAATTTTTATTGTGTAATTCTCTGATTAAAAAGGAAAGAAAATCAGCTTAAGGAGACGTTAATTTTGTATTAATTTTTATTGTGAAATACTCTAATTAAAAAGGAAAGAAAATCAGCTTAAAAATGATAAATATTCTCTTTTGATTTAATTACTTAATTAGAATGAATTATATAGAATTTACCATTTATAAGAATGGACTCTACGTAATATTTTTATGAATTTTATATAGTTTTAAATTACGATTCATTAACTATAATATAATAATTACATATGATATATTCTCCCTTATTTCATTATTAAATAAAGCAAATTATCACATCATATTAGTATGATATGTTGACATATCTTATAATTATTATTGATAAATTATAATACAATAATTATAGTTGATATATTCTTAAATTTTTTTAATTATTTTTTTATTTTATTATTAAACCAAGCAAATTATCAAATCATACTGATATATTGTGATATATAAAAGTCATCTTAAAGTAAATATTAAAATAAAAAGTAAAATTATCGGCCTTTTTTTGTTATTTTAACTTTTCTCACACATCTTATAATTAAGTTCTGATCTTTCATGGAGTTACACTAGTAATTGTTATCAATAGAATTATCAAAATATCCTTCCTACCTTATTTGTTCAAATTTAAGGATGTTTTTATAATTTATCATGTAAAATTAGGATGTATTAATGATAATGGATTAATATTTAATAATATTAAAATTAATTTTAATAATATTCAATTAATATTTTAAAATTGGTTTCATATTAATGAATTTAAATTAATAAAACAATATTAAAATTAGTTAAATCATATTAAAATATTGTTAAATAAATTAAATAATGTTAATGTTTTATATTATTATTGAATATTATTAAATATTACTTTAATTTAATATTAAAACAATATTTAATAATGTTAAACAATATTATTTAATTAAATTAATATTTAATAATATTATTGAATATATTGAATTGATATTTAATAATATTATTGAATATATTGAATTAATATTTAACAATATTATTCAATATAATTTAAATAGTATTTAATAATATTATTTAATATAATTTAATAAGAAACTAATATTAAATTAACTAAATAATATTTGAATAATATTACAATTAATTAAATATTATTAAATTAAATAATATTAAATTCATATTTAATAATATTAAAGTCATAATTAATTATAATAAATTAATATTTAATGATATTATAATGATATAATACTATTATATTAATATATAATAATATTAAATAATATTAAACCAATATATAATATTATTAAATATTTAATTTATATATTAAATTATTATTAATTTTTTATTCATTCTTATTAATTAATAATTCTTATAATAAATTATAAGGACAAAATAACATTTTAAACTTATATATTCTATCAATATTGTTTGAACTAAAAAATATATATTAATATTAATTCCTTTTTCCTTTTAATTTTAATGAATCAAATTTTATAATACATATTTTATTATATTTTTATATTTTATTTTCAAGTAATACTAATTTTATTTTTTTTTTATTTTGTTTCGCTAAACGTGTGGATAATATTTCTCATAAAAATAAAAAATAAAGATATAAAAATAGGGGAAAAGTATTTCGCAACCAAGACGTTGACGAATACAGAGGTCAACGCTGCCCTCCCCTTCTGATTATCCTACGTGGCAGGACGATTTGCACTTACCAATAAAAGCGGACCCACTTTTTTGCGGTTAAAGATTTAAAGGCGCAATTTAAAAGGTTACCGTTGGGTCCAAGACGGACATCAAGAAACTAGCCGTTACTCTGCTTTTCTTTTTACTCGCTCTGTGTTTAAATTTTTTCAGAAACCCATATTTCTTGAAAGCTCATCACCTCATATTTCTTTTCATGTAATCCAAACCTTAATTTTCTACTTCCCTAATCCCAAATTCCACTTTCCCTTTCACCTGATTTTACCAATTACAACATAGATATTTTGTTCCTTTCAAATACAATTGAAAAATTGATCGTGGAAGAAGTCGAATGGCGTCAAGAACAGTTGCCAAAGATATAATCACTCTACGAGGCTCAGCAGCAATCGTGAGCGAGTTTTTTGGTATGCGATTTCTCAAACATAACTTTCTTTCTTTTACTATTTTTTTAGGTTTTGTTTGGCGGTAGAGAAATTTTGTCTGATTCTGTTCTTTTTCTTTTTCAGGATATGCGGCGAATAGGTAATGATGAATGGATGTTTGTTCCTGGGTTTCTTGTACTTCTTTTCTTATTGATTTTTCTGAATCTAGTTTTTTTTTTCTTATTAATAAAAAATTTGTTTTTGTTTAGCATTCTGTACAATCGAGGGGTTTATCCAGAAGAAAGTTTTGTGAAAGTGAAGAAATATGGGCTTCCAATGTTGCTTACCCAAGATGAAGGTGTTAAATCCTTCATTTCCAACCTAACATCACAGCTTTCTGGTAAATCTTTCTTTGCCTTTGGGTATTTTGGTTACTTATAAAAAAATGTACGACAATGTGATACATTTAAATACATAGTAATCATTTCTCTCATTCTGAAAATGAAATTGTTGGGAAAGAATGGCTGGAAGCTGGGAAGCTACAGAGGGTTGTATTGGTTATCATGAGCAAGGCAACCAATGAAGTCTTGGAGAGGTGGAATTTTAGCATTGAGACTGATGATGAGGTTGTTGAGAAAGGGTAATAGTAGGTCATCTTTTTTTTACTCGTCAGTTATCAGTCTGGTTTTTGTGTGAAATCTGAAAGATGGATTTTCATTGGTTCCTCGTTTGTGTCTTTGATTGCAGTGTGTCAAGGGAAAAGAGTGACAAGGAAATTATGCGAGAAATACAGGCAATCATGAGACAGGTTGCCTCGAGTATTACTTACTTGCCATGCCTCGACGAACCATGTAAGAAAAAGACATCTGATTGAAAGCATTTTTGTCATCTTTTTCCTTACCAGATATCTCACGCTGTCACTCGTATTTCTTGTTCTTCCAGGTGTGTTTGATGTATTAGCATACACTGATAAAGATGTTGCTGTACCATTCACTTGGATCGAGAGTGACCCCAAGTTGATTGCCAATCCTCAAATGGTGAAGTTGCATTCATTTGATACCAAAGTAATGTTACAAAAGCAAATCAAGTTACATTAATAGAATTAAGGGCAAAATTTTGTTTTGCTTCTAAGTATTTTGTCTGTTGGGGTTATGCAGATACACAAAGTTGACACTCTTGTATCATACAAGAATGATGAATGGGACGAGCAGTAGAGTGATTGAACCCTTTGTTTTTTCTTTCTTTTCTACTGCAATATATTTCCTTCACGTGAATCTTCAATTCACATATTTCCAATATTGCTACGAGAGATGACAAAAATTGTTTGTGTATGTGTATGGTTGTGAAATGTTTGAATGAAGAATTTATCAGCCGTATCAACCTGGTGCCGAAGAATTTCACTACTGTTCTTTCACAGATTTCAAGTTGTGTTCATTTTATCTTAAACAATCTATCTCTCTTTTATTTTTATTTTTTTTATTGTGAACTTTCCATTGAAGAAGTATTTGAAGTGAATTCTGCTCTCAATTGATGCGACATTCTGTGGCTGGATTATAATCCTATGGTTAGATGGGAGTAAAATTACCGTTCCTTTTCCCGGTAAATAACAAAATACAATTCCAGATCAAATATCTTTACTCAGCTACTATAATTTCATGGTATTTTTATGTAATCAATCCAGCATCTACAAGTCAACAGTCTTACCAAAAAGCAAGATATAATCAAATACCAGTTGAATGACAAGGCTTCAAATATAAACCCTGAAAATACCATAAATACCATGAATCCCAGATCACATAATCCTTTGGTTGCCCGATTAAGCATGTATGAAATATGAAAAGCTCTGGTAGGAAATTTTTTATTTCCCAGGTTTCAAATACAAACCATGATTAAAATTTGCTTTCAGAACTTTCTGCCACTGATCTTGGCCGTCCTTCAACTGTCACTCTCAGAATATTTTGGTTGCCTGTGGTTTAGGCGTGGAGCTGTAGCATCATGCACTTGAGATTAAGATTTCATGCAAATACGCAATGTTATGAAAGGGAGCCAAAAGCAAGATATATTCTCAGAACTTTAGTTCAAGCAGCAGACAGCAATCAAATGTTGTCAAATTGACCCACGGAAGACCTTGCTAGAAATACTTTGTTTTCAACTGAAATACATATTTACAAACAAGGGATGTCCAGACCGCACGAACATAAACAGTAATGGAGTGAATACCTAAGAAGAAATATTATACAACATGCTAATAACATCTAAGTTAAAGAGTTCATTATTAGTAAGCAATAATAATGAACATAATGACAATCTTCAGAAAGCACTAGAGCAAATCTTAGAATCCCACATATACGCTTATGTCAAGACTAGGCAACTTTATTATAGCCTCTCGAGAGAACTCCAATTGTGCAAGCAAGATGCGCCAGCTTTCAGCTTACACCTCGATATATAGCATTAGTTCGAAGGTCGTCCATATTATCAATGTTTCTGTATCCATCAATCTCCCTGAGACCTGTGTAGCCCCGACGAACTAGATACTCTCGGTAATCATCTTCTGTGTAAAAGATCTCCTCCGTGTGGACCGGTATATGATCTGACTCATCATAGAGGCATACTTTTATAGCCAAACCTGAATGCAGGAGTTTGAAATACACAAAAAATGAGTACCTTGTTTTTCTCTTCTGCCAATGAAAAAGAAAAAAAAAAAGCCTGCAGGTATATTTGATAGCAAAATGAAGGTGTTGACTTAAAGTTTTGGAGTTTGTGCCATGTAATATTTCATATGGAAGCAACTCTGGACTATTATGTGCAGGCTATATCTCTTTTATATCACTAGACAACAGATCACAATGTTAAACGGTGGCCAATGCATAAGGCTCTCACATAGTGGGGATCTTGGGAGCGTTAGACATCTATAGGTTTTACCTTTAACCATGCTTTGTAGATGATAAAAGATTATTACATCATTCAGAGCTGTATCTTTCATCTATTAGATTTTAATGAAATCAATTATTTGAGAAATATTGTCGGATTGGTTGTAGAAACAGCATGCATGTCAATGTTACCTTCATCAAGGTGTAGAGTATAGTTCCCTAAAGGCATTTCCCTGTCAAGACTACGAACTATATGGTCTTCATCCTCCAACCAAAATGCGCGCTTAGTTCTCAATCTAAAAGCAGATTTAATAGCCTCCCTGATGGCATCTGCAGTACCATCTATACCAATCCTTCTGGTGTAGTCCCCAAACTTGACAGTTATAACCCTTCCTCCATATGACTGACAGTCACCACCTACCAAAAAGGGTGTGAAAGAGAATAAGAAGTCAATACAAAGATTTCCATCAGAATTAAAATTTTCATCTCAGACAAGATTTGGGAGCCAGTGCTCATAATCAAGAGCATTTAACCCAATCACATTCAGTTGAGCAAGTACGAAGAAAATGTGCCTGTAATGCACCACCAAAACACCTAAACATTTTGCTACATGCAAAACCATTATATCTTTTGGTAAAATCAGTTCAGCAAAAATTCTAACAGAACTTACAAACTTACCATTTCCAGGGGTTTCTCTCCAATTCCAAGGAGGAACTCCACCAGCTGCAACTGCCTCAGCTGCGGTGATAGCAAGAGGATGTCCATCATGATCTAAACGTCTTTCAAGATTAAGCGGCGGCCTACCACTATCTGCACAACAGAAAGCATAACCAGAAGGAGATGCATAAGTTTTTAAGGTAATTTGAGAAAAAGGCAACATGGAAAATAAAGCAAGTATGCTATGGTGAATAGATGAAAGATGTGCTTAAGTAAAAAGTCGTTCACCACAGATCAGGCAGCAATTCTGCAGTGTATATAATTTTTTCTATCTAACTTAAATGTTGATTCAGTATGGAAGTGCATCAACATGCACAAACGATATTCCTTTTACTGTTCAACTCCATATTCTAAATATTCCCAGTAAAAATTTCATCAAGATTGAAACTAAATAGAAGGCATAAGATTGCATAACCACATAATATAGAGAGCAGGCTTAAGAACCCTAGTGATAGATGCACATGTAATTCATTAAATTAAATTATATCCACTTTTTCAACATTCAGTAAACAATATTTCAGCATTGTGTATGTCGCTAACAAAAACGTGTACTTTAGATGCAGCTAAAGGTTGCCAAAGGCATAAGCTTTTGGAGCACAAAAGCCACTTATGGTCATGTGCAGACATAACAAAATCGTTCAAATGGAAAGATACTATAATGAAATATACTATTGGCTGTATAAAGATGCTAATGGCGCTCTAGGCAAATACATTGTTAGAAAGAGCAGTTTCCATCAGATAATTATTTGAGTGCTCCATGAAATAAGGATAGTATTAAGAGTAAGACAGTGTAGATAATCAACAGGTTTCTATCAGCACATGACTGTTTCACTCTTAGGAGAACTTATCCTGGTTGGGAGCAGGTGGTATATTGGGCTCACTACAAGGCTAATGACAGTCACTACAATTAAAAGGTCTGAATTCACAGCAAGAGATTGAGAATAAAGGGAAAGAAACAAGCAAGGCTGTCCATGGAGGTGTCTTGACTTCATGAAAGATGTTAACAATGCTGAAAAGAGAAAAAAAAAAAAAAGAAAGAAGAGATTGTTCAGTTTTAAGTTCAAAAAAGTACATCCAGTTTAACTGATGAAATACATAGAGGGAGACAGTACCTAAAGATTGCCTGATTGGTATGAAAGGTAACAGTTTTGATATTACGAAAAATATGCACATAACTTGGTGCTCTCAAAATAGGAGTTTCAAGATAGATACATTCTTCTCTAATTATGCCTCATAAAACTAATAAATTAAATCCAAGCAAGAACTTTATGAGGTACAGGGTTGAAAAGGTTAATGGCATTGAATCCAATAGATTCTATGTATGATTTACCCAAATTAACTTGAGGAAAAGTATTAGTACAAGATTAAAAAGGAGTGAAACAAAAAAAATCAAGATAAACCTTCTGATAGGCAAACTAAAATTACAACATCATACCTTCAACAGGACCAAATGATATGCCAGTATCCTCAAAACCTGAAAGAGTCAAACCATATTGGTGGTGATTATTAAAGTCATTGTAATAGAAAGAAAGACTTAAAATATGTTGCAATAAGAATAAAGAAACAAGACAACTATCCATCAGTAGCCTACATGAACACCCCCGCTACCCAAAGAGAGAGAGAGAGAGAGAGAGAGTAAGAGAGAGATAGACATTGAAATCTCCAAAAGCAGGAGGCTAAAACTTATGCACTGCTTTCATGAGGTGATATGCAACTGCAAGGTACTATGTCTGCATAAGGCAAAACCCAGGGAAAACCTTGTAAAACTGGAGTGAAAGTATTGGAAATGGATCAAACTGCATTAGACAACAGAGAGGAAATCAATAGACCGTATACAGATAATTATCTCTTCCAAAATAAGATTTTAATATATCAACATACTACTTCCCTGCTCTTATTAAAAAGGTGGTATTCTAAATTTTAAGGAGACCAGAGAAGTGTACTGCCTTTATGCCATATCTTGAAGCTTCCTTTGCAGTCTAGTCATTCATGTTATGCTCAGCATGATTCATGCTGAATAACTGAAATTGAACCCGATATCATATTTTGAATAACTTAATTGTTCTTAGACATGACACCTTGCTTCACTAGTAGATGTAATACATGTTGAATATTTACCATCTAAACTCCATAATAAAAATATAATTTAAAAGCAGCAGTTTTGTAAGTACCAACTTTCAGAAGGATACATGAAAGCAAACAAACCTTCTTCTAAAGTACACATTACAACCATAAAAAATAAAAATAAAAAAAAGAAAAGAAAAAAAGGAAGTCAAAGAATCTCATACACTGAAAGAACCAAAAATAATTTCTTTTTCAGCCGCAATTAATACTACCATCTTAAGTCACTTCAACTTCAAAAATTATAGCAGTCTTTAGACAAAAAATTCAGATGTTCTAAAGCTAAGACATCAATATATACAATGGAAAAACATTTAAAGCCATATCATCCTAAAACAGATTCTCAAATCCAAATAAAGCCTTTAAACAGTAACAACAGAACAACAATGCAATAAAAGTTCCACTTTTTAAATGCAAAAATATATAAAAATATAGCACATACCCTTATCTGAGAAATGCATAAATGAATCAACCTTAGGAGGAGGGTTTGGACTCTTATAAGCATTCTTCGTCCTCTCCCTTAAAATTTCTTCAATTTCCTTACAATAAGACATCTTAGCTGACCCACTCCCTCTATCTTGATGCTTAGCTTTTTTAAACTCTTTCAACAAGTTCCTCCACTTGTCGGTACACATAGTGGGGGATCGATCGAATCCTTTCTCTCTCATCTTAGCCGATATCTGCTCCCACAAGTGCTTGTTGGATTTGGAAGTATTGAAAAGGCTGTCCATTTCCCTTCTAAAGGCGATAAGGCTTCGGGTTTCGTCTTGGACCCAGGTCTCGGCACGTTTCTTGGGGGCTTTGATTTCTGGGTCTTCGCCGCTGCTTTCACCTAAGATCATTTGCTGTTGCTGTTGTTGGTGAGGAGGAGGGTGGTGGTGAGGTGGCAAATCCCCATTGCTAGTGACCTCGATGATCATGTCACGGGCGGTGGCAGGACCTTCCTCCTTGTATAAGTCTATCGGACGAGGCTTCTCCGATAAGTACATAGCCGTTTTCAATCTGAATGGAAATGGGTTTTTTTTTTTTTTGTGGATATAGGGGGTTTAGGATTTTAGGAGTTGAAAAGAGTGAGGGTTTTGACAAGGAGAAGGAGAAGGGAAGTCATGGGGGATTAGACTTAATTATGATGAGTCTTTTTAATATATATTTTTTTGCTAGGATTTAGCAGAGAAAGAAGAGGAAGAGAGCGTTGAGTAGAAGCTTGGGCAGTGAGTGTACGATTAATTTGCGGAGCTAGAGGGATGAGTTGAAAACTTGACTTTGCTATTTTCCTTCTCTTTGCCTTTGGCCGTTGTTGCGGTTGCGTTGCGTTTTGCCCTTTTCTCTGTCCTAATCAAAGCCCAATCCTTTTTTATTTCCACGGGGGTAATTTCATTTGATAGTAATGGATACTTTATGTTAATAACAAAAAAGGTTTGGCTTTGTATTTTAAAAATAAAAAGAATAGGTGGGTGAGAAATTAGAAGACAAATAGTGGTGGGATTTTTATTTTTGATGATAACTTTGGGGCTCAACCTTCAAAAAGGAAGTGTATATGTTTGTATAAGATATGATTGGATTGGACATGAAAGAGATTGAATTGGATCCTTGGGATATGTAATAGGTAAATTCCAATATTCCATCCTTACACCGGGGTGATGCAACGACGCCGTTTGCAAAGAGCAAATGAGAAACATGGTGCGTTCTTCGAATACCTGTTTGCTCCCATCTTTTTAATAGTTCCAGTCTTCATTTTTTGGAGCCAAACCCTAAAAAATCAGATAAATAACCACCAAAATTAAAAAAAAAAAATTCTATGGTTATAAGCTGATTATGTTGGTGGAGCTGATTTGAGTTCCTTATTTGAAATCAAGAAATACCCATAGCCATTCTTTCAGCTCCCATTTCCGTATTATTTAGCAACTCAAGTTCTTTTTCAGGTATTTGATCAAATACTTCTTGGCCAGTTTATTTTTTTCATTTAAAAGTTGTGGTTTTACTAGGTTCTATGTGACTTTTGTCGTAGAGGTGTTGTTATGTGTTATGTTTCCTTAATGCCCATTTTCGTTATCTGATGGAAGAACGAATAAGAAAGATGCTTACTTGTTCTTCTTCATGGGTTTCTTTTACCTGTTTGTGAGAATCCCAGATTTGGTTGATTTAGATAGTAGTGAAAAGTTGTGATTTTGCTTCCCTTTTTTTCTTAATTTTGGGTCATATGCATTTGTGTGAAAAGTCACAATTTTCATTTGGTACAGAAAAGTTCACAATTTGCATTTATACGCCGACATAGTTACTTTCTGGATGCAATTTTCTGGAAGGAAGTGGTTGCATTGTTAGAAAAGAAATTATCATTTGGTTCTACAAGCCAATGTGTTTGCAAGTAGTTTTATCATTTTATTAGACTTAATGTTTCTACATAAATCTAAAAAAATAAAGGGTTCTGAAAAATCTGGAAAAATCTAAACTAAGAATAGAAATCTTTGATGAATGGGATCGAGAATTGTTATTATTTGGACACAGGAAAAGGAATTTTGCACATCCCTTTCTTGTGCCGAAGACTAGGAAAACGAAGAATACTCCCTGTAATTATTTGTTCCCCTCATTTATCCTTCCTTTCTATTGTCCGCTTACTTATCTTATGTTTAGTTTCCAATCTAATTGAATTTAGAAAACAAAACCCATCCTGCGACACTTCAAGCTTTGCCATTTCCTTTGTGTAAATGTAAATGTAAAGAATATTGAAATTCACGTTAACTCAGTTTTAAAATATATTTTTTGGTTTTCTTTTTCCCTGCAAGATGAAATATTGATCACTTAAATTGCAAGAATAGAATATGGTGCATTTCTTGAGGGATTTGAAAGAGGCTTTGGATCTTTTTGTTAAGGGTGTACATGGATTTGGAACTAACTTATTCCACACTATTTTAGAATAAGTTTTTTGTTGATTTTTGTATTCTTTATATTTATGTCTGTTTTTATGATAGATTGTGATGTAGGAAATCTATCTAATTATTTTCTTCTCTCTTTTGGCCTTGAAACTGAAATCCATAACAAATTTGCATGGCTTTTTTAGGATCTTGTATCAGAATAAAGCAGTTATTCACATGCCTAGTTCCTTCACAATGAGCAATTGCAACATGACTAAATTTTGTGCCCTTCAGCATAAAGCTTTGGTTCCCTTGTCCATGAGCAGAAGGTGGAGAAATGGATGTCAAAGAACTCTTTCCACCAACATTGTAACACATATCCTTCCAAACACCCAACTTATTGTCCGTTCCCCATCATCAATAGTGCTTGCTGTCAACCTCACCCCATTTGATGCACCTCAACGCTCAGATGAATGGTTTGCCCTTCGGAGGAACAAGTTGACCACAAGCACCTTCAGCACTGCTTTGGGTTTTTGGAAAGGAAAACGCCGGTCTGAACTCTGGCATGAAAAAGTATTTGCATCAGAAACTCAGGTTTTGGAATCTTCTAAAAAGTGTGCTCTGGAGTGGGGTGTACTCAATGAAGCAGCAGCTATTGAGCGGTACAGAAGTATCACAGGCCGTGAGGTTAGCTCATTAGGATTTGCTATCCATTCGAAAGAGCAATTTGATTGGCTTGGGGCATCCCCAGATGGTCTTCTTGGTTGCTTTCCAGGAGGTGGCATCCTGGAAGTGAAGTGTCCATACAACAAAGGCAAACCTGAGACTGCTCTGCCATGGTCCACTATGCCATTCTATTATATGCCTCAGGTTCAGGGTCAAATGGAGATAATGGACCGAGAATGGGTTGATCTATATTGCTGGACACCAAATGGAAGCACAATATTTCGCGTGCATAGAGAACGCAGTTATTGGGATCTTATACATGGCATTTTACGGGAATTTTGGTGGGGAAATGTAATACCTGCTAGGGAGGCCCTATCGTTAGGTAAGGAAGAGGATGCTAAGACATATGAGCCTGAATCCACACACAAGCTGACAGGGCTTGCAATTTCTAAGAGCATAAAGTTAGCTAGTGAAGCAAAGATGTTATGTAGGGAGATTGCGGGTCATATTGAATTTTATAGATGATCCTAAGTTAAAGTTGGAGCATCTCATTTGCCACTGCCCATTTTGACATAATTGCTATTGATTTTTCCCCATGTATTGTTGTATTTGTTGAACAGCATTCTAGTGGCAATTGTATACTTACAATTCTATTGAACCATGATTCCTCATAGATGGTAAATGGTTTAGTTCTTATTAACATGTGGTGCACAACTGTTCGAAGTTTGGCTCATTGCAACACATTCAAGATTTGTAGAAATAGGCAAGTGTTATTGTTTTTATTTTTTATTTTTTATTTTTGCCTTGCAAAAGAAGGGCGAACCAATCCTCTGTCACGTTTTCTCTTTTACTCTATATATAGATAATGGCTGAATTTAGCATTTGCTGAAGAACAACTTTGTTCCTCAAAATGACCGGTTTAGGAATCAACTCTAGAAGACAAATTTGTTACAGGTGTTCATCTAAAATACCAAAATGAATTCGTCAAATGAAAGAGAAATGACCCAGCTGGTTAAGCAAAATAGCTGTTGAAGAGAAAATCTAATGCTGGTCACACAAAAATAACTAACTTTTGCCAATCCTGTCTACGATTGTCTTTTCCAGTCAAAGAAGACATAAAAGCATTTAAGCAACGCAGGGAGATAAAAGAGAAAGAAAGGAGAGATGGATTCTGGGTTATCCTGGGCTGATCAATGGGACTACAACTCTGACCCTTCACCACGAGCATCGGACAAGAAGAAAAAGAAGAAAGAGGAGGATTCGAGCAAGAGCAAGTTTGGCAAGTCATTATTAAGTTTCAAATGGATGAAAGAACTGCGTAAGAAATCTCAGCAAAAAAATGACAGCAAATAAGAAGTTCATCATCTGCTGACTGCTGCGCCTGTGCTCCTCCATGGATCCTCCAAACTCCATTCTTATTGTCTTTGTTTTACCATAAAATTCTATTACAACTCCTACCTCCCCCCTTGTTTCACAGATAAAATTTAACTGAAGAAAAAAAAAAAAGATACTCTTAATAAGTTTTTTGCTTGTTTTGCTACTTCTCTTCTTATATGGTACACCATTGCTCAGGGTGGGCAAATTATATGTAAAGTGTTAAACCAAATGCAGATGATAATTCTAAATTCATTTGTTTCTCTTGGACAAGTCATGGCTTATTTGTTAATTATAAGTATAATATAATGTCTGATCATAATCAAGCTCATACTCCCAAAGGGACATGCATCTATATGTTGATTAAAGCAGTTAAGATTTATGACCCTGTCTCGGCTTTATTTTTATGGGGAAATCTCTTGGCTAGTCTTTTGGACGTTCAAATGATTTTCTTTTGAACATGTCATCAAGAGAAAATTAATGTAAATTATGGGGTTTGGTTTTGGATCATGACTTCAACCTGCATCCTGCGGCTTACTAAGCTGAATAAAATAAGCATGAAGAAAATCTTTGAGAGAAGTGCTGGACAACAGCTTAAGCTTATGAAAGTTTTGCAATAATTCTTGAACTTTAATTTAAAATGCAAATAAATTCTCGATCTTTTGCACTAGATTAAGACTATAAACTTTTATTTTATTGTCCAATTCATAGAGCTTTTAAAATAGTATTCTTTTAAAATTTTGTTATTTAATTCATCCGAATAAATTAAAATAAATATTTTTTACAAATCAAATCATCCAATTAAAAAAATTTAAACAAAAAAAATATTATATACCATCAAAGTTCTAATTATAATAAAATTAAAGTTCTAATTATAATAAAATAAAAGTTCATAACATTAATTTTATGCAATAAAAGATTGAGGACTTAGTTGCATTTTAAAATAAATTTTTGAGGGCTTATTTGGGTATTACACCAATTAATTAATACTCCTTCTTCGTTGAAAGGAAAGGTTTGTAAAAATAAAAAGGAGTTGTTGACTAATTGAAAATTTTCTTTCAAGCTTCGCAATTTAGACATCAAACTTGTATTTAAAAAAAAAATCAAATTTGGGTGAAATTAATATATACAAGTATTAACTTATTAAAAGGTTGTGAAAAACTAATTTTCTATCAATTCATTAAATTTTATATAACTTGAGATTGTCAAACTCAAGTCACATTTGAATATTTGATTTGTCGATGTGATAACTAGGAGACATCAAACAATTGGCTTGGGCTATAAGGAGAGAGGATATTAAGCCCCTTTCAAGGTAGAAGAAGGGTCCCCATCTCCACGAGGAAAATTTATGTTAGAAAAATATATACCTCACAAAAAACACTGCAACCTAAGCCTATCTACATTGGTGATGGAACATTACTAACAATTTCAGTATTTGCATGATTAAAGAAATTATCAAACAAATTCGCAGCCTTTGCCTTCTCTCGAGGACAATAGATACTCCAGTATTTGTTCAAAGCGCCCCAAAATCACAACTCAACGAATTTAGTTGAACTATCTAGCAAAAAATCCAATTCGAATTCACTTCCTTCAAATTGAACTATCTAATGTTTTTCTTTTTTTTTTTTCTATAAAAACCTAATAGATGACAAAGTAAAACTTTATTTCACGACATTCAAGCGTCATATCTTATATTCAGGGCAATACACTATCCTGTGATGACCAATACAATCCAACATGTTTTTGGGAAGCAAAGGTCTACAATTTTTACATCAAACAATGGAATAATAAAGTCTTTTCATAAGCAAGTAAGATAATTCCAATCACATGGAAGATAAGGATACATTCCAATTATTAAGGAAACACGCCGGATCAAGAGGACGGCTGCTAAGATTTCCCAGCTCATTGCAGAAAGGTTCAGGAAACAGATTCTTCTGGGAACCAAATAAGAAAATACTGTCTAAAAAGCATGGCCTGCCTTGCATAGTACCCCACACACAAGAAGACTGATCACAACAAATTCATCTTGCAAAAGAGGCCAAAAATGTTTCTCAGTCTACAGTAACAACTAGATGAGTGCTTCCTTAGGGAGTCCATGTTCAAGTTGGCAAACTCGCACTATCCACCTTATTCTTGACAGCACAAAGATTACAACACAGAGCAATACTTCAAAAGTCATGTCCCACTAACTTCATCATTGACCATCCACAAGCAACAGAAAATGTCAACCAAGTGCCAATGCCAACAACAGAAATCACCAAAACAAGATTATTTCTCTTGGAAATACATGCAACACAAGATTTTATTGTCTTTTCCCTTCTTTTCTCCAAATGTCACTAAAGCTTGGCTCAGAGGACACACACCAGTTCACTGCTCACCCAAGTTAAGTCCAGTAATAGGCTGACCATGTTAGCAGATTAAAAAGTCAATAAGCAAGATAAGAGAGATACAATAATCTTTACATTGCTTTCTGGCTGCCTTGAATTATTAGGGATGTGACACCTTAACCAGAATCAGAAACCAGAAAATGTGAAATGTTTTCAGTCTAGCCATGGAGATGAAGGTTGCCAGTTTGTTGAAAAGCAGGTAAATTGGACAGGCCAGTCATCCTATTCTGCTGCCTCTCCTGGCACTTTGCAAGTTGTAGTCTCCAAACAATCTGAACAAAGCAACTCCAGACAAAACGTTTCCTCATACTCATTGTCATTAATGCAACGACCACACTGAACACACCGTGATATACAAAGGGTGCATGCCCTGCATGAATGAGCAGCATGGTCTTTCCACTGACAACACTCCACAGGACAATCATAAACAAGCCTCATGCTTTGGCATCTTGGGCACATTTCAATATCAACGGCACGATCATCACCACAAGAGAGATACACATTTCTTCTGTTATAAAAATGTGGCTTGTGCACAATCTGCTGAATCTGGTTGTCCATGCCCAACAAGAACTTCAGTTCTTCAAAATGCTTCAGAGTCACACCATAAAGCCCACCAATCCTCAAATGCTTCACCCCTTGTGAGCCCATAGACTTCAAAGCCTTTAGGCTATTCAAAACACCCTCGATACTTAGTCTTATACATCCAGGTACACTAAGCTACAAGGGGGAGGAAAATATTTAGTAGCTTAAAATAGAAAAGAAAAAAAAAAGTAACCTGAATATATAGATGCAGAAAAAATACATTGAACTAAACCAAAATATTTCATAATAACAGCAACTAAAATTAAAAACGACACTCCCAAAAAAAATACAGTTATGAAGTAGCCCAATTAAGTTTGAAAAATGTTTCAAAAGCTACTATTCCCGCAACACCAGCCGATATCTGTTTGTTTCGTCCAAGCCTTAGGTTTTCCATGCATTAAAACAAAGCCCTCAAAATAAATTTCCTATTTATATCATTGCATTAAAATGCAAATCTATGATTTTGATTTAGAGTTAGGCAACAAAACATGATAGCCAAATAGAAGGAAAAACATTTAATCCAAGAAAGCTAACAGTGACTTTGAGTAGTTTAGTAAATGCATTGGACCTACACATATATGTTGATCGAGCAGAAAAACACGGGCAAACTAACCTGTAGTAATCCTCCTTTCTTACATGCCTCTGCTAGGGGAGAAACTATTTCTCGGTTTGATATATTTACATATCATTAGAGACTACACATTTAGATCTAGTGGAAGTGTCTAAAGATTTTTAGGATTTAGAGTTAAAATAAGTGTTTATAACTTTTTTGAAGCAATCTCCAGCAAACAATCAGAGTGGGTACAACATAACAAAATCAGAGAGTAGATAGAAATAACCTTCTGCCGAAATATAAAAATATTAAAGCCATATTACACCATGAAAGCACAGTCAGTCATATTCCAGTTTGCATAAATCTTATACACGATATGGTTAACTAGCGTGCAGACAAACGTTTGCAAGCATTAGGGCATGAACAAATACACCTACAACTTGATACCCATACAACCCAAGATTCAGAAACTGACACAAGAATCAAAATTTCAAAACATCAAACTAACCTTGATTAGCTTTGGATTATCCGCAACCACGCGCTTAAGACCCTCATCAGTAATCCTTTGGCAATCTACCAGGCTCAAGCATTGCAAGCTACCTTGAGCCCTACTAGTTATTTGTAAAAGAACATCATCAGTAATCTTTTCACTAAGTGGCTGGTCAATGTGAATATTCCTCCATAAAAGGGGATCATTCTGAACTATAGATCGCAGTGATGTGCAAACATTTTGAACGATGAACAGATCCCTCACACCCAGATAACCAAGGGCCAAAATCAAGGCTTCATGAGGAGCTCCTTCATGTCCCTCAGAACAAACCTCACAATCCCGATATTCTTTATTTTCCTGATCAACAGAAACCGTATATTCATTCCCAAAACATAAAATGTCCTCTCCATTACAAGCTGATCCAAGACCAGTATGACCAGATACATCCCCTCCTTCCTTCACCTGAGAACACCCACCAAACCCATCAGAGACACTACCTTTACATTCAAACCCCATGCTTCCAGGGAAAGTTTGGACCATGACGTTTTTCCAAATGAAGTTCAATCCAGCAAAATGATAACTCCCATCGCCAGCTCCCATGTCATCTCTCACATAGCGGCCACAATCAATTTCCAAATCCTCAAGCCAACCAGTAATTGCAGTGAAAGTAGTGGTGATATCCATTCCAAATGGATCCGATGGCAAAAGATCAATGATATCATTAGAAACAGACTCCTGAGAACCACTTCGATCACCACTTCTATCCCTTCCATGATCAAAGCAATCCTTCATTTCATGATTCGCGCACCAACATATGGAACACCCATCTCCATTCTTCTCCAGGACACCTTCAAAAAGGTACCCACTCGCGATTCTCATGGGAGAAACCAGATTATCTTCAGTCAAATGAGCAGGAAAGATAGGCCGATGGGAAAGATTTAACGCCATTGATCAATATACAACCAATTTCCCAAATATTTCTTTCCTCAATATATATTATGCAATAATTTTAGCCAAAAACCGTAAAGATCTTTTTCTTTTTTTGTTGTTTTGGACTATGAGAAGAGCAAATAGAAAGAAAAATTAAAAGAGAAAAAAGGATAATTCGTGGAGGATCTAATCTAACAAGAAAAAACCCTAGATTTTGGATGACTAACTAAAACAACACACCAAATATTTCTGAGTTTTTTCTGGTGTTAAGATACGAAAATATCAACTACAATCCCAAAATAGGGTAAAACAAAATCGGTGGCGTAACCTAACTTCTGTATACACCAAAAAAAAAAATGAATGAATTAAATTTCCTAATCAATTTTTTATATTTAAAATTTTATTTTCTTAAGTTTTAAATCCCTCAAAACGTACTTAACCAAAATTAGGGTTTGCAGGTCAAAGAAAGTAAATAAAAAGAAAGAGATAGACGGAAGAAGAAAACGTGGATTGAGCGATAATCAAATCCAAATTAGGATTGAGATTACCACCAAAAAAGATTCCCTAATTTCACTCCCGCGAAACGCAATCGACAGAGATTATACCAAAAAGTCTCTCTTGGCTTCGAAATTTAAAAAAAAAAAAAAATCGTCGAATTTGGGGCCAAATTTGGCAATTTTTTTTCTTTTCTTTTCTTTTCTTTTTGGTTTGGTGGTAGTTGAGAAACTGGGAAACTCGATCCAATACAGACAAGGAGGAATAGGGTTTTTTTTTCCCCTGTCGAGAGCAAGAAAACGCGAGAGAGAAAGCAGAGATGAAAAAGAGAAAAGGATATGTTTGTTTAGCAGAAGGGGAAGAAAATGGGGGGCAAGTAGTAACCGTTAATTTGGGTCCTTGTTGCAGAAGTTTTAATATGTAGCGGTAAAAGGACAGGTCACAGATGTGGGTGTAGTAGACAAAAAACTTGAGAATTTTGTTAATTTATGATTTTATTTACTGCTTTCTTGTTTTGTGGGGAAAGTGAGGGGGAGATGTGGCGGGAGGCAGTTGGAGGAGGGAAATCCTAAATGTGACGATCTTTGCCTTCCCTCCCTAATCTCCCGCTCTCTATCTTTCGATTTCTTTAAAAAAGGGCAAGTGTGTTTTTGAGGGTTAGATTTTATCGGGGCGATTGCCGAGAATGCTTATGGACAAGATAAGATGGAGTGTGATTGGTGGAGAAGATCAGACGAAGGGCCAGAGATTGGGATCTCCGCACCCGGACCCACTACGGCCCGGATTTGGTTTGTACTTACCATTGGATTTAGATCCGAACCCGCTTTTTAAATTGGATTGAAATCATGCTTTGTGGAAAATAACCAGGTTAATGGAATAGAATAGAATGGGATAGAATCAATTATCTGATAATAACACTATCAATGAAAAAACTCAAATTGTCAACTACTTCCTTGGTGAGCAAGTGCATGGCCGTCACGATTTCAGTTTAGAAAAATATATATAAAATAAAAATGGAGTAGGAAATAACCATATGTCACAGCAAAGGTTCAACAAAAAGCACCTTCCATCCGGTTTCGCTTATTGATTTCCAAGACTGGAATAGGAATCCTCCTTAACTTGCAGCCATTAATAACCCCCCGTCCAAGGAAGGAAATCTCAAAAACATTCTTCAACCCATTGCTTAGAAGAACATCATTGAGATATCCAAGCTCCGTTCCCCAGCCGCAGAAGCAGCTGTTAGTCCCCCCACCATTTTTCCCTCTTCCTCAAGCCAAACCACCCGATTCCTCAGAGATGAGAGAAGGTGACCTTCGAAGTTACCAGGCTCCTAAGTGATACAGTTACTTCAGCTAGGAGGGTGCTAACCCAGACAGACTCCAACGACATTTTCTGGTTCTTTTAGGATAGCTAAGAACAACCTTTAGCTGACTGACAAGAAATGTCGACACCTAGAAAAAAAAATGGCAATCAATTCAAATGGGAAAAGAAACTATCCTCAACAGTAATGCTACTGGCACTGCATCAGCCGAATCAGCCTTATTTAGCAAAGAAACAATAATCTTCTTAATGTCTCAAAGCTTCTTGGAAATGCCATTGTAAAGGGTTAACAGAGGTCATAGTTCACTTCCACGGAAATGATCAGCGAGAAAGTTAACAAAATGCAATGAAATTATGAAACACCAACTCTCCCTCCAAAAAAATCCTCAAGATTTGAAAGGATTTTTATGAAGCCAACATCATAAATTAGTTAAACCTTGTCTATCAAGATCAATGAAGAACATGTAAAGTTAAATGTGAAACAATTAGAAACTTTCTGACCCCAAAAATGTTGTTTCCTCCTAATTAATTTCTTGACTTCTTTCTTGACGACTTAGATTGAGGTCTGGATGGCTCAGCATTCTGCAAAACTCCTTTGGAACTACTAGCTTGGTTTGATTTCAAGTTAGAACTATTAGAATTGGTAGCTAGGCAGTAGCTTCACTCTTTTCTCTAACTACTGCACCTTGAGAGCCTCTAACCTGAGCTGCTCTCTTATCCTTTCTTTTAGGCCTGTAACTTGACCTTTCTCTCTTAGGGAGCCATCTCTCTGGATCAGGTGGAGGACCTGGATTTGCAGGGTCAAACCCTTTGGGATACCTTGGCTTTCTCTTCCTCTTTTTCTTCGATTTCTCCTTAGTCTTACCTTCCTCTTGAGCTTCAGCAAGCCCACCATGAGGAGCTCCTTCAACATGTTTCGCTCCAGAAGTTCCTTCCAAGCCATCCACGTCAACCCCCTTCAAACCTGGTAATGGCTTCAGTTGCTTCTCATAAGCTTCAGCCTTGTCAACATTCACATGAGCAACTGTAGTTATCAGCCCAACTAATGCGTCCATGCTTCCATGACATTTTACAAGCTCCTCATATAGATGGGCAGCATCCTCCTCCTTGCCATACCTGAGCTTGAAGGAAGCAGCCTCTTGCATAATAATGCTGAGCTGGTCATCTTCAGTCATGGCAGTTTTCCACCATTTGATTGCGGAGTCAAGCACAGCAGCTGCACCATTTATATCTCCAGCACGCTCTTTGAGAGCGACAAGAGTGGCAACAGTGGAAGGCATGTGTTGGATATCGGCCACCTTAGAAAGGGATTCAGCTGCAATTTGAGGGTGGCCGGCGGCAGCAGCAATCTGTGCCCTTGCTAAGAGAATGATCTTTGACTTTTCAGGGAATTTCTCAGCAAACTGCCCCAACATTTCTTCAGCTTTCCCTGCCTTGTTTTCTCTCACAAAGACAGCAGCTTGAAACAGTACTGGCATCACACTGTTAGGAAACAGCTCTGGCAAAACAGCAACAAGTTCCCGAGCCTGTAAAATTTCACGAACAAATAGTCTTAATAAGGAGAACTGCCAAATTCATTAGCTAGCTTTCTTTGTTCTCAAAAAAGAGGGCTCAAAAGAACGCAGACCAAAAGTGAGAAAAGCAAAATCCCAAAATAGAAAACCTGATCCATCTTATTTGCATGAAGAAGTAGAAGAACACGGTTTGCATATATTATCTCTTTTTGTTTTGGTGAAAGCTTCAACTCAATTGCATGTGCAAGCTGAAACTTTTGTGAGTCTTTCTCTTTAAGCCGATCGAGTTTCCTTAAGCTATCAGATATATCTTTTGGACCTTTCACTGCAATAAGGTTGTTCAATGCCACTGCAAGTGATGGTTCATCTGCCAGATTTCGGTTTACAATATCTGTATAAACTCCAACAGCCTCATGTGTGTGACCAAGGAGCTGATAAAGCAAGCCGATTCACATTAGTGGCTGCTGTGTTACCTCCCGTCACAGGGAAGGAGAGAAAATAAGGGAACTAATGAGTCAAATGCTTGCATGATGCTGTTGTTTTACCTGCTGAACATAAGCTAATTGGACAGCAATAGGAGCTAGTTCAATCTCAATATCATCATCAGCAAGGTTCTCCTCTGTCAGTGTTTCCTGACCAATTCTATCAAAAAAACAGATGAAAAGAAGAAAAAGCAGGCATATTAGCATTTGATGTCAGTAAATTTATGGTCCACAACTATCTAGATACATCTTAACATCCCAGCGCACAAGCTAACAACAGGGTTATATCAGTTTTCCAAAAAGCCAGAGCACGGGACTGGAAAACCTTAATCTGAGGTCTGAGATGAAACTAACACAACTGTCATTATGATATGAGTTCAAACTTCTACCTCCACTTTTCAAAATTACCCCTTTCTCCAACAGAAAAAGGATTGATAGAATATAATCACCCGAAAGCTGATTTAAAACCTATGCTTCATTTGACATTAATTTTCTCAAGCATTTTATTTAGTGCCTAAAGAAGAGAAAGAGGTTCCTGTTTCAAAATTATGCCAGATGGAAATGCATATCTATTTATTAATCTCAACTGTGTATTTTCTGAAGTAAAATTGATAATGAAAATAAAATAAGTGACACTACTCAAAAATAGATCAAATTACAAATACAGACAGTTAGCAAGCTTAAACTATTTTTTATAATGGAAAATTCCAAGATAAAGATGGCCTGCCAACATTAGCTCATGTTATTGCATTGATAGTATCCTAAGACACAAGTAATATGTGGATCTACTAATAACATTAAACATTAATCCGTCAATAATTATTTAGTATCAACAAAAATTTTCTCATGATAGCCCATATTCAAACAAAGAATACTGCAGTACCTTCGAGCTGTGAGCAAGAGTTGTTCAGCATCCTTATGCTTATTTCCTTCAATTAAAGAACAAGCAATATTATATGCCAACTCAAAGCTGCTAGTTGCCTTAACCTTAAGTGTGTCCAAAGCTCCCTGTACTTCAGACGCTTTCCCAGCCGAAATCAAACCAGCAACCAAATTTATTTCCAAGGAATCAATCTTTGCTCTTTGAAGATTCCGATAGATTTCAACACAAGCATCCATTTTTCCTAGACGATATAGAACCTGGGATTCTAACAACATGCTTGGATGAGTCTTATCTTGCTTCTCCAATAAATCCAAAGCTTCATCCAATTTGTTTTGTCTGTATAGGCAATACGCCTATTTAGAGATAGCAAGATAAAAGAGAATATCATTAAAAGTAAGTAATCAAGTTTTAAAACATTAATGCAGCCAAGATGCAATGATCTATTATTGATCAGATAATTAATTAAATATCAAGAAAGCAAACACAAGGTGCAAAAGTGAAACATGAACAAACAGCTCAAGTTGTTTTATACTTGTATACACTATGTCTAAATTATTAAAAAGACAAAAAGAGACAAAGACCCTTTCTATAGACTATTGAAAAGTGTGATCAATAAATCAAGAACTCGAACTCTGAATTATGATGACTTGTGAACTTCCCAAACCATTCTACTAAATATAAATCAATCAAAGCAAATACATTTAACTTTAATCTCTTTCTGATTGTTGCTTTTGCTACTTGTTTTTTGCTATTTAACTTTGAGTAGGGATCCACTTACACTAGTGAAAGTCTTATACTTTTTTTACCATTGGATCAAAATTAAACCCATGACTAATTTGTATCAAAATAATTTTTTTTTATCTTAGCCATTTTGATCTTTGGGTTAAAAAAAAGAGTACGACTTACACCAGAGTAAGTTGGATCCCTCCTCTTTAACGTTTGCTTTCCCATGAATTGCTAACTATAATTAAGAATGTTCAAATAACTAAAATGTAATACACATTAATACATAATTGCTCTATATAAAAGTAAATGCCTGCATATTGTGAGAAATGAACTCGAATGGGTAGCGAAATTCAATTAAACTAATACTATCAATTTACAAAATGCAGTCAAAGCAAGCCATTTGCTAATCGAACAAAAATGAAATTAAGAACAGATTAATATAACAAGGAACATAAAAAAAAAAAATGCGGGAATTAACCAACCTTGTAGAAACTGAAATCAAAAGAAACCTTCTGAGCAGACTGAATTGT